ATCGAGAGACCTGGCTCACAAAGCCTGTACAATGTACGCCGACCGAAAACAACAAACACCATCATTCGTTGTCGGGTTAACGTTCCCAGTCAACGATAATTACATGCAGCGCTCTGCACAGACGCATTCAACAATCCATGAGCAGTACCGTCGTCTGCTGGCAACCCGCGCTCGCGGCCCAGCGGGCTCCGCGCGCCGTCTAGTCGCAGACGCGAGCAGCGCTCAGCGAGGGGTGCCGCGGGGGAGCCACTGGGTCCCGCTGCGTTCTCTCCGCTCACGCAACGCGCGTGGAATCACACGTGGAGGAAGGCGCTGATTTGTGCTGTATTCGTACCTAGGTGCAATGGATTTGTGTGACCCCTGCCGCCACTAGAGGCCGCCACGTTTAGAGGGGAGGCAAACGGAACTTAAGACGCGACAAGGAACGGAAGGAATCGAGGTGTGACGACTCGATCTTTGATTTTTCACCTCTGCTCCACCTTTGACCGTGCGCGGTGCGAGAGATAGCGTAGCCATAATGACTGTGGAATTGACGATTGCTGTAATGATGGCTTTTACGATGGCTGTAAACGCTGTAAATTCCCAGGGGCGGGCGTGGGAGAGATTGATTCACGTGGGGGAAGGGGAAGCGAGATGCGGTGATTGCGGGGTGGGGGGTACAATGATACCCAGGTGCGTGTTTATGGTTGTTGAGTTGTTCCGTGCTGGTGTGGTTGCCTGATTCACTCGCTCGACTGGAGGCCACCCCCAACTCTGTTCTCAACATCATAGCGGAGGAGTTCAGTGCTTCTGAAAGTGACGACTCAGTTCGAACCCGTGGACATCGGTTTAATGCAAGGGACAGTAAACCGACTGTAACACTCTCCACTGTTAATGACGATACACTCTTCAAAGGAGAGCGCATGTTATGTGACCACCACAGTGCACGTGCAATGCTCTAGCCTTTCTAGACCACCTACTCAAAATTATTAAAAGTATCGCCTGTTTCATCGCTACCTGAATGGACGGACGGCCACACATACTTTCAGCTCTCTTCTGGGTTGGTGGTCTAGACAAGGCTGAGATCAATGTCCATGCAATGCATGCAAGGCATGCTGGGAGTTGTGCCCTGGTGCTGTCTGCGAGCAGCACCACGCTGTGCCCTGTTACATCTCATTGTGTCCGGGTCGCACACGTGTCCCTGTTGATGCTGTTGATGATGTTGTTGTTGATGATCGATGGCCGTCATCATCATTTACACAAAGTGATGGACTTGACGAGAGGTGAATGTAGACTGGAGAACCGATGCGAAGTTCAGTTTTTCCTTTTCATTTTAGTTTTGAATTTATTTATTTATTTGGTATAGCCCGGTGAGCCATTCGGCTCTTGAATCGGGTGCAACCGCAACAAACAAAAAACAAAAACATAACTAAGAAAACATCTTAAAGTGACTATGCGCAAACAGAAAAATCCAGGAAAAAACTGCTAAATCTTCCAGAAAAAGCACCGTACACCAACGCTGTGCAAAAATCATAGTGGGATGCAAGTCAAACAACAGCAACCACAAGACAACTTAGATTAAAGCCACCAGTCTAACTCCGTACTACAACAAACAAACATGGCCAAACCAAAAAAACTTTTCGAAATTACCTAAATAAAGCCATAAAGGCAATGTGACAGTGATCATAGGAACTGTGACCGAAATTTCACAATAGACGACATAAACAACCACCAGACCCTGCAGCCATAGCTGGCTGCATGAGTCACTCCACAACAGCAGGAGCATCAGTAGGAGTATCAACATTTTTCAATGCACCTTTAAAGATCAGCAAACTAAATCAAAACACAAGATGATACTGAATAGCAGTGGCAGCTAGGGGTGTACAACTCCTCTAGAGCAGTTTTGAGTGAAGATCTCACAGGTAGTGATTCAAATTGCAGTTTATTGGCAAGTCGCGATCCGAGACCAGGGATCGGCAACCTGCGGCTCTTCTCGGACTGCTTCGTGACGTCATTTATCAAAGACCTGCTCGTATCCACGGGCGCTGCGGCTCGTGAAACATGGAGGTGCTTTGTACCGAATTCGAGAAAAAACAATCTTCTTGTTATGTTGCTTGCCGAGCCCTTGTCTCGAGCAGCGGCCCTCAACCTGCGGTCTGCGTAGCCCTGTTCGTCCGCCAGGCTCCGCGGATAAATACAAATACAAACATCTTCACCAATGAAATGTACAATCTCAAACAACTTGGCGCGTTTGGTGGTCCGCGAAACGTTTGGAGGTTGAAAAGGGATCTGGGCACTCGACAAGTTTGGGAACGGCTGTTCTAGACCATTGCTCAACAGGCGAGAAGGTAGCGACCCCCTCCCAATGCAAATGAGATCGACTGAGACTGATTTCACAAACATGTGCTCACAGCACCAACGCCAGCCCACAAGTGCTCAGCTGCAGCGAACGCTTGTGGGCCAATGGGCTCCTGAGTGGCCATGCCCGTAGGGTTAAGGTTTGAGAAGCCATCCTGTCCCCCCCCTCTCTCGCGCCCTCCCCAGCGGACACATTCCCCGTGGTCGGGGCGGATCGGTTTATCGGTCAGGGAGTTTACATTCGCTAGTACAGCAGTCGTGTGTGTGTGTGTGTGCGCAGATTAGACGCGTATTTATTGAAACAAATGTTTAGTTTATAAAAACATTACGCACACACAAGAGATAAAGTTTCCTTATGAAGCCTTATAAGGGACAACCTCTCAAGGGGTCACGTGGCAAGCGACACATCCAGCCGCCTTTAGTACCAACATCAATACTACCATCATCGAGATCAAGACATTAATAATCAAGATGAAGACAATCATTAAGTTCAAGGCATTCATAATCAAGACCGAGACAATAATCATTAAGATCGAGACAATCATCAAGATCGAGACAATCGTTCGAGATGTTCACTCCCCGCATCTCACTCCCAATGCCGCTGACTGCCCCGTGCTCGATCCCGTAGATGCTGCACAGGAGACCACGTGACATCCACGAGCTGCCCTCACAGTCCCCCACCATCAGGTCTTGGAAATTCCTCTTGGTCCCCACCCTGTGTGATGTCTCGCCTATTCAAGCATAGTCCCAACTTACTTTACCCATCGATACAACTCCTCCATGATCGAAATGCACATCGAGTTCCCGTACATGTACTTTTATGATTCTTAGTTCTACTTGGCAAGATTCTGGCAAACGCCTCCCCTGGACTGCTCACCAGAAGTATCCGCGTAGAGTCGCGAGACTCGTTTCGGTATCCCCTCCCTCGCCTGGCGGGACGATGAGTGTCTGCGATGCCCCCTCCTCCTGCATCTCGACAGTCACACCGCGTGTGCCCCCCGCTGCCTTGTAACCGGATCCCATCGGCGTCGCTGATATCCCCCCCCCCTCGTCTGGGGTCACCTTGTTCTCCGTTTCTTTCGTCATCCCTTGATTCTGCTCGTTAACTTCCTTCTGCTGCCCGATGTTTCTTAACGATCATAGCGACTCAAAAGGCTCCTCGCTGTTCAATCCACGACTGTCATGTCTCTCGCACTTCCCCTTCTCAGAGTGCTCGATCCGCTGGCATTTACGACCGCTTATCGCCCTGCATTTGTTAGACATCTTGTGACCACACACTCGACAACAACTAATTTACTCTCCCCATTATGGCCGTGCTCGTGGTCACGGCTCGGCTCTGGCTCGGCCTGTAACGCGGCTCGGCTCGCACCTGAGCCGCTCAGCTGCCTACAGAGATGCGGGAGCGAGCAGCTCAGCCATGGCTCGGCTCAGGAGAGCCCCACTAATTCTCAAGAGAAATTTACAACAGGGCCCTGTTTTTGTATGTATGCTGAACTTCTTTCGCACCGTACATAGCCGTCTGTGCTAATCGGGGGTGCTTCGTGGGTATGCTCTTGTCAATTATCTTCATGAGCGGCTTTGTGTGGGAGGAAACCAGATACAGTAACCTGGAGAAATCCCATGACGAATATCAGTGGGCAAACTTAAAGCTTTGCACAGATTGATGCAAAAAAATCAATTGCTGTGCTGCCATTTCTCAGCACGAGCCTACCACCTGGTATTCCCAAGCCGTCTCCTATCCCAGCACCAATCAGGCTCAACGTTGATGGGCTTCTTACATCTGACGAGAGATCAAGTGCATTGGGTGAGATTCGGTGTTTGCCCAAAATTCCGTCATTGACAGATGACATATATTTGAACTGTAATCGGGGACATTACACAACTCGCAATACCCACCACAAACTCAACCCAACACCGCAAACACACCCCAATCACAACCTCGACACACCCATTACCAACCTGATAGCTCTATCATCATACAAACACCTCCATCACCGCCCTGACACCTCCACCAAAGTCTAGCACAGGGGTCGGAAACCTGCGGCTCTTTAAGGACTTCTTAGTGACGTTATTCACATGAATTACGGCTCTTGAAATATTGAGGGTTTTTTTTACCGAATTCGAATAAAAAATAGTTATTCTTGTTATTTTGGTGGCTGACTTCTGGTCTAGCACCTCCATCACTACCCCAAATCACATCCTCGACACGCGTATCACCACTCTCAAAATCGAGACGTGATCGTGCCGCCACATGGTGCCACATGGTGCCAACGCTCTGCCCCCATGTCGCAGCTGTTGCATCGTAGGCACACGGCGACCTCCACGATCCCCGAGTCTCTGAAATCTCCAAAATTACCCCAACACCAGGACCAGCATCCCTATCAATCCCCAACCACCCCCCATCACCACATGGACACCGCCATTATCACCTTGATACCTCCATCCATCATCACAAAGCCGACATCATCACCACCACGCACATCACCACCCCCATCACCACTCCGCAATCACACCTCCATCACCACGGCAACACCCACATCGCCACCCCCGCATCCTGCCCCGCACCCTGCCCCGCGCCGCTCCCACCTTTTAGGGCCTTTGCGAGAGGGGATTATAAACCGCGCTACCAAGGTCCCCTCCGACTAAATCTTGAGCAAGCGCTCATGGCGACCTGGAACCGCGGCCGCACGGGGTCTCGCCTCGTCCGGGCGATGTGGCTGCTGCTGCTGATGCTGCTGCTGCTCCCGGCGGTGCGGGGCCTGGGGAATCCAGGTGAGGAGTCGAGCGAGGGTCCTCACGGGTCCGCAGTCGGCGAAGTCACATCGCCTCGAAGAGCCGCTCTCGCTACATACACACGCACAGCACTCGCGAGTGCGTGGGGCTTTTAAATTGGTGCACTGACGCGCACGTGCGCGCTCGTATACACGCGTGGGCACGTGGGTACACACAGACCCCCCGTGTAGCTTCTGACAGACCGTTGGGGCAAGTCCTGTTCGCGAGCACCGATGAAGGCCGTCACGGCACGCGACAAGGGAGTGGGTGGCCAGCACCACGTCCGGCTGCCTTTGTCTCCCCAGTGGCGATGTTTACACACCGCACCAGGTACTCATTGAAGGATGTGTCGACCCAGGGGAGGCCCGGGACCGGTTCAAATATTCGCCATTGTTATTGGTCGTGAGCGGTCATCGAACTCGGGTCACTAACCACTACACTACCGCTCCATACACACGCACACACAGCACAGACACAAACACAGCACAAACATACATCGGGTTATCAAACAATAACCATTTTGTGAATGTATTACCGATCCCGAAAATCACAAACCCGCAATCGTTTTTCGTGGAATTTCAGCCATGAATCCACCGATTGCCCTCGTTCGATTCCAGCGGCCGCCCTGATTAATACTAGGGGTGTATTAACCCTTAAACCATTTCAAGATCCAGTGATGCAATTCGCAAAAGTAGGCCATTCCGTGCCGGCGTCCTGGTCCAAAGTTGGCAAATTCGCCTTTTTGAAATATCTGCAAATTACGAAAATTGGTATCAACACAGCAATCATGAGACCCTCCTGAACAAGCGACTGAGTGAGGCTTCCCTGGGTACACACGCGAGATGCAACCTTGCACACAGACACATGGCGCACACACACACGTGACCACACGTGGACACGTGACCACACGTGGACACGCGACCACACGTGAACACACACGTGGGCACACACAGATGCACGAACGTACACGTGGACACGAATGAATCAACACACTAAGCGCTATACTTTCTTTATTTTTTACCAGGTAAGGCCCACTGATCGTCTTGGTTCTTTCGGTAAAGTCACGTAGAAGGGAAGTAATAAAATAATAAAAATAAAACATAATAAAATAAATCGAAATTTAAGGCCCACTGAGTTTTAAAGCTTGTTTTCAGCAGCGACCTGGCCACAAATGATAACTCAACGAAATGGCTTATCGTGTGTAAATGTATTGCAGCCAAATACTCTAAACTCGTGTTTCTAAATAGACAGGTGGTGGAGGCGCATACACAAGTACAGTTAATCAAGTGGAATCGTGAATCTGTCTCAAGTGTCGCCCCCTCGTATGCGCTGGTTGCGTTATCTCCGGGTACTCGAGTTTCCTCGAACACGAAGTCAAACAAAACAAAACACCTCCGAGTTTGAAAAGGAACTGAGGTCAAAAACTCCCCATCCTTTCAAGAAAGCAGTCTCTTGACGATACGCGGAGACTGTTGGGTAAACGGAGGGGGCCGCGCGTGCGGAGCGCGGCGCTGAACGCCTCCCAGCGGGCCACGCGTCAGACGAGATTCAACATCACGGAGTTACTCATTTGGCGAACTATTTTACACGTGACTTACATACACAGCACCATATGCGCAATGAAAAAGCAGATGTTTAATTAATGTAATATATGTCAATGTTTAATCTATATATAAATATATATGCCAATGTATAATCTCTATAAATATATATGTAACATCACAGAGGCAGTCACACACAGAGGAGACATTGAGGTCTTGGAGCCTCCAGTCGAACAGAGCCAGCACGGGTGACCCGGGGGGCACAGCAGCAGGATGAGAACGAGCGACCTCCTCTACTGAGTAAAGTTTATTGATTATAGAGGGGGGGGGTCAGGTACGCGTGAACCATCTCACCCCCTCGCCCCCCCCCAGCGTGCACGCGCGCCGCTCTCGACCTGAACCTGGTGCTGGAGGCGAACCGCGAGACGGGCACCGTGACCCTGGAGGCCATGAAGACGTTCGCGGGAGCCGCGCTCGAGTCGCTCGCCCCCGCGGGGAACTCGTCCCGCGTGGGGCTGTGGCGCTTCGACCGCGACGCGCAGCCGCTGCTGCGCCTGGGAGACGCCGCCTCCGCCGCCAGCGCGGGCTACGTGCTGGGCCTGCTGGAGGTGGCGCGGGGCGGCCGCAACACGGGCGGCGCCCTCGACTTCATCCTGCACGCCGGGTTTCCTCCCGGGCCGGACGACGGGGTCCATCGCACCAAGGTGAGTGCGGGGAGCGCCGGGGAGGGAGGGGGGGGACGATGCTGCCTCGTCGGAGCACCGAGCCGGCTCCCAGCCATCCGTGGCGAAAGCGGGTTCCCAAGTGTAGCAACGAGATTGCAATCGCAGAGCGGTCACCGAATGCTGCTGAACGATGCGGTGCGCAGTGTGCGGGGTGGAAAGCGACAGGTCGTGGTGTCTGGGTGATGCGGGGGAGAAAGCTCGGCAATGAAGTTCAACTGCAGTTCAGCACACATTGAAATTTCCCTGGGCTAGTTTATGTATGTGTACGTGTATATACAAAGTGTGTAAGAGATGCCGACAGGCGAACCCGATGAAGTAAACACACACACAGAGAGAGAATACTCACCGAGTCCAAAGACTTGTGACTCGGCAATCCCAAGTCGCAAGTGCCAGTAAAATGTGTCGTTCACCCTCCTCCACCCGACACAGCCAATGAGCAAGTTGTCACGTGATTACCACAAGTGCCAATGTATCACCGCTTCAGCACTCCGCTGTGCTGGAGAGCGACCCACACACACGTCACAATGGGCGCTACCGCCAGCGTCACCAGGCAGTTTCCAGATTGTGAGAGAATCCTCTGAAATTGAGATAAATAAAAATTATCTCAACACAGTTGACAGCTCCGGGCTGAGCGGGGCTTGTAAACGCATTCACATTAATATAAACTAACACAGCATTATAACATTACTACGAAGTTAGTGTTACTCATTAATTAACGGTTAATGTGAGGAATGCTAATCCCTCGCATTAACATAGCCACTTCCGTGCCCTCGTCGAGGAGGTCGCTCTCCTCCTATCTTACAGTTACATGCTCATTTCTCACTTTAACATCACTAGCCCCGACCACCTCTTTATGACCCTTGGGCTACACCCATTTCTAACCTTTAAAACAGTCTGCCTGAGCAGCAGACCATGCTTTCCCACCTGATGATGGACGCTTGTGTTGCGCCCGAAACGTCGTGATTTATTTTATTTTATACCTACGTGACTTTACCGAAAGAACCAAAGAGTAACATTGACTAATCTGTTTCATCACTAAATATATCTATACATTCCGTTATGAAAACGTATCTAACATAACTTATTATAATCTAACAGCATCATTTAAAGGAATACAGCATATTCAACTCTAGGAATCACTTCCTGGCACATTGGTGACATCACCCCCCGTGTTGAAGGCCCAAGACTGGAGGACGTGTTCGCCATTGTGTCAGTTTCTGATGGTGCTGCTTGTGTAGGTACCAGTTGTTTCAAGGTGGTGTGCGATTGCCCTCCAACACCGGCGTGCTGAAGTAGTGACACATTGCAACTTTTAATCACGTGACTACTTTACTCGTCGGCTGTGTCGGGTGGATGAGGGATTACAAGACACATTTTACTTACGCGATCTGACGCTTTATGAATCACGATTCCCCTCGTTTACCCAGGAAAGCCTCACTGAGACTCATCTTCAGATGGGTCCCACCAGGTTTTCTCTTAATTTGCAGGTAATTTTCATATTGGGAAAGTTTGGACCATGACGCCAGGACACAATGACCTGCTCCTGCGAATGACATCATGGGATCTTTGAGTTCCACTTTAAAGCAGACGGCGCGTTATGTCACGGTCCATACACTCACCGCAGTATTAATCAGGGCAGCCGCTGAAATCGAACCGCGAACCTCTGCAACAACAAGCAGCGAATGCGCCCGCGTGTCTCCAGGTGCTGATGCTGATGACGACCGGACTCGCGGACGACAGCGTGAGAGGAATCTCCGAGCTGGCGAGCCAAGCCCAGGTGCTCATCGTCACCGTGGGCATCGGGTGAGCGGCCCTCTCCCCTCCCTACCCCTCGTCTATCTCCCTTGTCTCTTAATGTCTCTCTATACTCGCCTCCTGCGTTGCTCGTCTCCCCTATGCCCCCTGCTTTCTCCTTCTCATGTCCCTCTTACGTCTCTGCCTCGTCTATCATAAGCTTCTCGATAGTCCTCACCGATTGCGAGATGAATGATCGTGCTCCCCCCATACTCCCCCCTGCTCCCTCTTCTCGCCCTGACCCCCCTTCTCCCCATACTCCCCCCTGCTCCCTCTGCTCCCCAGGCCCCTTGTGGACGAGGAGGAGCTGCAGGCCCTTGCCTCGCTCCCCACGTTCGCGCACCTCTACCCGCTCCAGATCAGCGCGCAAGACGCCCACGTGGTCATGGGCGGCATCTGCAGCGGTGCGTGACCCCGACCCTGACCCCCACATTGACAACTGCTCCCACATCCCATCACTCAGGTGGCCCCGCGTGCTTGCGATGATGATGACGCTGAGGGTCGTGTGCGTGCAGGCACGGGCGTGATGGGCAACTTCCTCTTGAGCCACCAGACGAGCGACATCAACTTCGGTGGCGCAGACAACGGCACAGGTGGGGCACTCGCTCGAGGATGTGACGGTGCTGGTGGTGAGATGATGATGACTGCTACTAATGGTGGTGATGATGGTGGTGTTGGCTATGATTCTATCTTGTGTATGGATGGATAACCGGTCTATGTCTAGGTTAGTTAGCCAGGAAACTGCTTCATGTACCCCGTGGATTGCTTCAATGCATCCACCAATTTTGGAAGTTTTACAAGGGACTCATTGTTGTGTGGCCAATGGACCGGTTGTTGTTGCTGCGATCGCATGCCGGATGCATTCTCATTTGTGAAGGCAGTGGGTGGGGGGGATGCTGCCGCGAGGCATGCAGATCTCACTTGGCGTGGACCGGTGTGGTACCTTCGTGTGATTAGCAGTCAAGGCGCTGGTTTGAAACGTCGGTTTTAGCCAAAGGGCTCTGGCTGCGCTCCAAAATGATTGGATTTCAGGTGGTGGATCTCAGGAGGAGGGACATTTGATAGCTCAGGTGGCCAGGGTGAAGCAGTTGGCTCTCCCTGTTGCGGTGTTTGAGATCGTGCCCAATTACTTGGAGTGGTAACTCCGAGTGGCCCCGTGGGGGTAGCAGTGCTGTGTGCACACGCGCCCGGTTCCCCAGCACCGACGTCGGTAGCCACGTCAGTCACCCCTGATGTGACGCCCTATGATACTGATGATGACGATGACACTGCTGCTGCTGCTGATGATGATGATAAATCTCGCGTGCAGAGAAGACCCAGACACCGGCGCCGCCGCCGCCCGTGCACCTTGACGGCACGTGCAGCGCGTGGGGCCTGGGCCACGTGCGCACCTTCGACGGCTTCGCGCTGCGCGCGGCGGGCGCGTGCCCCTACGTGGCGGCGCGCGAGTGCGGGGACGGCGCCTCCAGCTTCAGCGTGGAGGTGCGGCGCAGCGCGGGGCGGATCAGCTCCGTGAGCGCGCAGCTCGACGGCCTCGCGCTCTCCGTCTCCCGCGACGGGAACGTGACCGCGCGCGGGGAGAGGTACGCGGACGCCGCACCCGAGCACGCGTGCACACGCCTCGCCTGCACGCACACGCGCCTCCACGCAGCGAGCCTAGCTGAGCGTGACAAGAAGGTGCGCGCCTGGAGGCGACGGAGTGAGAACTTGTGGGCTCAGGCGCGCGTGTCCCAACGAGCTTGGGCAGCTTTACCACCTTGCGGCCTGAGACCAGGGAGCCGAACCGATCGGTTTTCGTGTGTGGTAGTGGTGCACCAAACACCCAGTAACTGGGTAGGGTTCAACCGGTTCAAAGTTGGAAGATTTGGTTCTGTTTAACCGTTTGCTAAAAACCCTCTTTAATGCGACTTGCAGCCACGGAGTGATTTGGAAGGACTCGCAGCGAACTTGCTTCCGGCACGGGAGTGGGGAGGGTGGTGGGGGATGGGGGGGGTAGAGGATGGGGGATGCAGAGGAGGGTTTCTGGAGGATGTTGGGGAAGGGCAGTGGGGGGGGGGGGGGGCACAGGTTGTTAACCGTGGGGAGAAGATTATACAATCATCAGAACGGTGCAGATATCACGTAAACCGTAGGGCGTGTTAGACGCGCCATGCTGTCGTAAGAGGCCTTGCGTGTTGTCGGGATAATGACCGTGCGTCACATTTGGTTAAATTTATTTTGATTGCGATCTAAGACAGGAGAACCACAATGCACTTCTTCAGGAACTGCGGATTGTTTATTTACACGATGCACAAAGGCTGTGTGATTTTGACACCTATGCTGTCACATTTGCGGTAAATGTTATTGGCTCTGCGTGCTGTGCTCTGTGTGAACCCGTGGGTGCTCTCTGCGTGCTGAGCTCAATGCTGCCCGCTCCCTCCCGTGTGGGTGAGCAGGGTCCGCCTGCCGTTCAGCGACACCGGCGTGCAGGTGACGCGCGTGGGCGCCTACACGACCGTGCGCATGCGCAACGTGGTGGAGCTTCGTCTCAGCGTGGACCAGTCCCTCACGGTGCCTCCCCACGCCGCTCGGCCCGTTCAGCCCCCCCCCCCCCCCCGTCCACCCACGCAGCATTCACATCCATATCCACCACCACGCGCATAGTTCACGCATACTCAGCACACCGCTCCTGCTACTTTACCCGCCATAGCATGGCAGGCGCTGTCTCGGACCTCACTCCACGTGTTGCGCCCACAGATTTCCGTGGACAAGAAGTTCAAGGGGCGCATGTGTGGCCTGTGCGGGGACTACAACCAGGACCCCGTGAACTCCGAGTTCAAGGACGGTGAGCGCGCTCCTGCTGAACTCACGCCAGCCCAGCCACGCTCAGTGCTGCAAGACATGGATACGCATGGCGTCTAAATGCTGACCGCATCTCACGATGTTGCAGAGAGTGAGATCCAGAGGGAAAGCAGATCTCGAGTCTGCGCCATGGTGTTGATGGCGGCCTGAAGGGAGTTACAGACAATGTGGGAAGCCGAGAATGAGCGCTTCCCCACGGTCCCCTGTCCCCTGCTCCCATCCAGTCCCCTGACTGACGCGTTCCCCTGCTCCCCGTGTCCCAGACATGCGCACGGTCGCCGACTTCGTGAAGGCGCAGAAGCTCGCGGACGGCAGTGCGGTTTGCACCGAGGAGACGGCGCCTCCGGGACCCCCCGCGCTCAACTGCTCCAGACACGTGAGGAGCCGCGCTCAGCTGGCGCACCTTGAGCACGTGACCTACGCACCCCCCCCCCCCCGGAGCGGTGCCTAGACCCCCGTGCCCCCCTCTTATCCGCACCCCCCCCCCCCGTCCCTCTCTAGGTGGACACCTGCCGCGCGTTCACGCAGCTCCCCGCCTTCTCCGGGTGCGAGGACGTCGGGGTGGACGTGCACGCGCTCGTGGTCGCGTGCACGCGGGACGTGTGCGCGTGCGTGGAGACGTGGGGGCTGCCCCCCGCGGAGTGCGCCTGCGACTCCCTGGCGGAGCTCTCGCGGCAGTGCGCGCTTGCGGGGGGGCGCCCGGGGGCGTGGAGAAACTCCCAGCTGTGCCGTGAGTGCCGCTCACTCACCCACTCACCCACCCACTCATCTACTCACCCACTCACCCACCCACTCACCCACTCACTCACCCACTCACCCACCCACCCACCCACTCACCCACTCACTCACCCACTCACCCACCCACTCACTTACTCACCCACCCACTCACCTACTCACCCACTCACCCACCCACCCACTCACCCACTCACTCACCCACTCACCCACCCACTCACTTACTCACCCACTCACCCACCCACTCACTTACTCACTCACCCACCCACTCACTTACTCACCTACTCACCCACTCACCCACCCACCCACTCACCCACTCACTCACCCACCCACTCACCTACTCACCCACTCACCCACTCACCCACCTACTCACTTACTCACCTACTCACCCACTCACGCACCCACCCACTCACTCACTCACCCACTCACTCACCCACTCAATCACTCACCCACCCACTCACCCACCCACTCACTTACCCACTCACTCACACACCCACTCACCCACTCACTTACTCACCCACTCACTCAGACATCACTCACTCTAATTTGAAGTCTCGCAGCCCTATATGGGACGGGAGCGAGAATCTCAAAGTACCATTCAATCCTAGATTTGAAGTTTTTGTGACTGCAAATATCCATGCTCTTTGGTTCTTTCGGTAAAGTCACGTAGGTGTTGCGCCCGAAACGTCGTGATTTAATTATTATTATTTATTTTTTCACCTACGTCACTTTACCGAAAGAACCAAAGAGTACCATTCAATCCCCTGTACTCGTGTCACCGTGTCCGCGTCGTGTCCCCACGCAGCCGCCTCGTGTCCCGACGCGATGCAGCACTCGGAGTGCGGCACCAGCTGCCTGGACACGTGCTCCAACCCCACGGCCAGCGCCCTGTGCGAGGATGCCTGCCTCGACGGCTGCTTCTGCCCCCCTGGTACCCGCACTCACCTGCCCCACTCACCTGCCCCACTCACCTGCCCCACTCACCTGCCCCACTCACCTGCCCCACTCACCTGCCCCGCTCACCTGCCCCGCCCACCTGCCCCACTCACCTGCCCCGCCCACCTGCCCCGCTCACCCGCCCCGCTCACCTGCCCCGCTCACCTGCGTTACGGAGTGAGTGGTCTGGCCTCGTTCTCACACGTTCAGCGGTTTTGTTTTGCACGAGAGATGAGACCGTTCGGCCGACACCTCCTGCCAACACGAGTGAGTTTCCCCTCTCGCCGATCCGGCTCGTGCTCCGGGATTCCTGCCGGGATCGCATCTCGAGCACGAATGGGTGGCGGCCGGATCCCGCGGGGAGGAGACGAACGCAGAGCGAGCGCTCCCGCACGACGATCTCGCGCAGACCGACTCGAAAAACCCCGGGCGCCCGTTTTCCCTCCCGCCACTTCTCCATTGGCCGATTCCTATCGAGAAGCTCTCTCACGGCCGCTTCTCGCTCCACGTGATCTCGCACATCGCCCGCCCTGCGCTCGCTCATCTCCTGCCGGCCTGGGTTTGAATGCCTCTGAACACGGTTCAGGACATCCCTGGCGTGAGATCGTCTCACGCCTCACTCCATACACCCCGCTGCTCACCGCATGCGTAGAATTGTGGAATCGGGGACTTTATTCTCCACCATCCACAGCCACTTACTGCCGACGCAGCGTGTCCCACGTCCCAGTGACTGTCGTCCAGACACTCCTGGAGATGTCTCTCGTGAACTCGCTCACATCACATCACAGGGCCCGGGACTTTCAACTCACATCGGACTTTGGCCAATTCTTCCCCCTCTCTGAAACGTTTGGAGACCACACGCGAGGCGGCCTGGCAAGGAAGCCGAGGGAGGTGAGGTGTTCTCGCGGGGGGGCAATCACGAGCGCCAGACGCAGCCGCGTGTGGCGCGTCTGCTGAGGGGCACCTCCCCTGGAGCGAGTCCCGTGGCCGTGGCATCACGCAACCACCTACACACACCTACACTCACCTACACACACCTACACACATCTACACACACCTACAAGCGCCCTGTACTCACCTACACACACCTACACACCCCTACACTCACCTACACACACCTACACTCACCTACACTCACCTACACACACCTACACTCACCTACACTCACCTACACTCACCTACACACACCTACACACACCTACACTCACCTACACTCACCTACACTCACCTACACACACCTACAAGCGCCCTGTACTCACCTATACACACCTACACACACCTACACACACCTACACTCACCTACACACACCTACACACACCTACACTCACCTACAAGCGCCCTGTACTCACCTATACACACCTACACACACCTACACACACCTACACTCACCTACACACACCTACACTCACCTACACACACCTACACACACCTACACTCACCTACACTCACCTACACACACCTACACACACCTACACTCACCTACACACACCTACAAGCGCCCTGTACTCACCTATACACACCTACACACACCTACACTCACCTACACACACCTACACACACCTACAAGCGCCCTCTACTCACCTACACTCACCTACACACACCTACACACACCTACACTCAACTAACTATACAAAGACAAGTCTTAACAGACTGTTGGGGAAAGAGCTGTTAGCGAGCACCAATGAAGGCCGGCACGGCACACGAGGGAGTGGGTGGCCAGCACCACGCAAGGCCGCCTTTGTCTCCCCAGTGGCGATGTTTACACATCGCACCAGGTACTCTTTTGAGGCTGAGTCGACCTTGAGGAGGTCCAGGTCCGATTCAGATAATTGCGACTGGTGTTGGCCGTGAGTGAAAATCGAATTCGGGTTGCTGGTTTCGTAGCGCAGTGCGCTAGCCGTTGCACTACCACTCCACATTAACGGTAATCACCTACACACACCTACACTCACCTACACACACCTACACTCACCTACACACACCTACACACACCTACACACACCTACACACATCTACACACACCTACACACACCTACACACACCTACACACACCTACACTCACCTACACACACCTACACTCACCTACACACACCTACACACACCTACACACACCTACACACACCTACACACATCTACACACACCTACACACACCTACACACACCTACACACACCTACACTCACCTACACTCACCTACACACACCTACACACACCTACACTCACCTACACACACCTACACACATCTACACACACCTACACTCACCTACACACACCTACACTCACCTACACACACCTACACACACCTACACTCACCTACACACATCTACACACACCTACACACACCTACACACTCCTACACTCACCTACACACACCTACACACACCTACACTCACCTACACACACCTACACACATCTACACACACCTACACTCACCTACACACACCTACACTCACCTACACACACCTACACTCACCTACACACATCTACACACACCTACACACACCTACACACACCTACACTCACCTACACTCACCTACACACATCTACACACACCTACACACACCTACACACACCTACACTCACCTACACACACCTACACACATCTACACTCACCTACACACATCTACACACACCTACACACACCTACACTCACCTACACACACCTAAACACACCTACACACATCTACACACACCTACACTCACCTACACACACCTGCACTCACCTACACACACCTACACACATCTACACACATCTACACACACCTACACACACCTACACTCACCTACCTGTACACACCTGCAATCACCGTGAACTAATCTGCATGGATTGCGTGCGAAATTTACATAGCTCACTCGGAGCCGATAGGGAGTTGGGGAAGTGCGGGGGGGGGGGGCGAGCCGTGGCGTTGTACCTTAGTTAACCTCACGACGTTTACGACAGCGAGGGGCAAAGGGGGGGCCACGTGGCGAGGCGGAGGATGATGGGGGGGGGGTGCTCATGGGCCGTCGGTGCCATCGTCGGTGCCAGGACAAGTCCTCATCTCCTTCTGCAGCCACGGTGCCAACAGCTCTCGATTAATGCACCGGTTTATTGGGGCTCTTCAGCTCAAAAATGCGCGACCATCCCCGTGGCTGGGGATATGCGGGGGAGGCTGCAATGAAACAGATATATAGTGTGCTGCTTGCCAAACACAATAAACATCTGCACACACCTTTTGCACTACCAGCAATAACCGTACCCTCATGCAAGTACAAAGACAAAGATTCCCTTTATCGCCTTGTCGGGGCAAGTGTCGTTGTCGAGCAGCAACTTTTAAGGCCGGCATGGCACAAGGGCAGGCCAGCACCTCACCCGTCCGCCTTTGTCTCCCCAATCCCCATCCTCCTGTACCGTATCAGCCCACCTCTTCAAAATGCACGCACGCACGCGGGTGCGGGTAAATACTTTCTGAGCTGCTGCGGTCGCCGATTCACCCTCTCAGTTAAATCTCCACGGCACGGCCGTCCTCGCGTTGGAAGTTGTTCAACTATGGGAGCGGAGGACGCAATGGTCCTCGTGGACTTTGCGATCCTCATGATGATGTACACATGTGTTGCGTCACTCCTCAACACATGTACACGCACCTCCGATTAGCACGGTTGGCTGCGTACGGTGTGAAATAAGTTCAACATGCATACATATATATGTGCAGATGGCTAGCCGCTACTACACTTGCCCCTTGGTTCCTTACGGAACATAGTCGGATTCAAATTTTCCCTTCCATCACCGCGGTGTTCCAGCTCATTCTGGCCCAGGTACAGCCCTGGGTATAACAATCTAAGCAATATCCAGCCTCGTCTCCCTGCTTAGCTTCCATGATCCGCCAGGTAGCATCACGCAGGTTCCCATCTAGACACATTTCCCATTTCGTCCGATTTTTGGCAAGAAAGCACAGACTGGACCATCGCCGACGATGAGTGGCGGGGAAGGCGCGGTCAGGGTGGCAGCGGGGCCGGCGGTGGTGATGGATGAGGCAGGAATCGGGCCGTTGATTTCAAATCTCCGAATTCGGCTCTGATCTCTGCCCTTGTAGTCTCAAGCGGTTGATGGCAGCATAAACCGCGTGGAGATTGGCAGCGTCGTCGCCTGACTCAGCCCGACCCTAAACCCCGAGGAGTCGCCAGCGACCCCCCGGCTGGGGCAAGGGTCTCCCCAGCACCAGCGGTGTTGTTGTTTTCATTCATGTCTTTATTTATTTAATTTGGTAGCGTGCCCTTTAAACACGACCTCGACAGCTTCAGTCCAGTCCATCAGTGGAAATGAGCCAAATCATTCATTTACACCCCCCCCCCGTCTCATCCCCTCCCCCCCCTCCCCCAGGCACGGTGATGGATGACGTGGACGAGGCGCAGGGCGGGCGCTGCGTGCCGGTGGAGCAGTGCTCCTGCGTGTTCGACGGCAGGCAGTTCCCCCCCGGCGGGGTGCTGAGGACCCCCTGCAGTAAATGGTACGAGCCCATTATAGGGCCCCACTGCCCCTTCATCACTCTGTAGTTGGTACGATCCGCGACGCTGCAATAGACCAGTAACAGACCACGAATTTCAAGTTCGACTTCGGCCAAGTGCTGCACGTTGTTCACGCAACCAGAGCGGTGCCAACAACCACAACCGCATCCACAGTCACATCCACAGTCACATCCACAGTCACATCCACAGTCACATCCACAGCCACAGCCACATCCACAGTCACATCCACAGTCACATCCACAGTCACATCCACAGTCACATCCACAGTCACAGTCACATCCACAGCCACATCCACAGCCACATCCACAGTCACATTCACAGTCACATCCACATCCACAGTCACAGTCACATCCACAGTCACATCCACAGTCACATCCACAGTCACATCCACAGTCACATCCACAGTCACATCCACAGTCACAGTCACATCCAAAGCCACCGGTCAATTCGAAGATGCTCCGAGCGGCGACACCTCCTGCTCGCCAGGGCAGGAGCGAGCGCGCGTCGTGCAGGAATCATCCGGTACTCGCGTCGTGATGCAGCAGCAGTGGCAACGACCGAGTGGCCGAGTGGCACACGGGGGGGGGGGGGGGGTAGCCACGTCTCCGTGAGCGTGCCCCCTGCGCCAGTTGCGGCCTCTCCGACGCGAGTGCCAGCCACGTGCATCAATCAACGGACCACGAGAATTGAACCCCTGTGTTGATTTATAGAGGAGACACTGAATGGGAGGTTTCACTCCAGCCACACACAGCTGGCCATTGTAGAGCACACCAGACTGCCTTGCCCCGTGGGTGTGCTGCTCTAACCCGTGCCCCCCCCCCCCGTGTGACACAGCGAGTGCGTAGGGGGCCAGTGGAACTGCTCGAGTCTGCCGTGCCCGGGGATGTGCAAGCTGGAGGGCGGCTCCCACTTCACCACCTTCGACCACCGCACCTACACCTTCCACGGGAACTGCCTCTACACCCTCTCGCAGGTGAGCGCGCTGCCCAGGAGGCCAGCTGTGGGTGGTGACGAGGTGTGGGTGATGACGAGGTGTGGGTGGAGACGAGGTGTGGGTGGAGACGAGGTGTGGGTGGTAATCAGGTGTTGGTGGTAACCAGTTGTGAGTTTGGCTCATCACTGGAGGTCTCGGTGCACGATTGTGCAAAACCACACTCACGGTCCCAGTCCCCCCACCGCACCACCCCCCCCCCCACCCCACCACCCCACCACATTTCGTGGCCCCAGCACACGGGCCCCCTGTGGCCCATGCGCCCCGGTGCAGTTGCAGGCATTGCCATGAACCAGGTATAATAAACACACCTGGACGAGTCGGAGAGAGAACAGCAATGCGGTGAAACCCAAGGACAGGTGGCGAGTGGCCCAGCGGCACCGCCCGCGCCCCGATAGCCGCCCCCCCTCTGGGCGGCGAGGGGCTGCGGCGCGCAGCGCTCGCGGATCTCCTCTCGTGCCGGGGTTTGCCGCGTGGCTGCCACCGTCGCGGCCTTCGTCAAGTTTCTCACGCTCGCGCCCCAATGCGGCCGCGTCCCCGATGTCTCGCGACAAAGTCCGCGAGTTACAACACCGATCGGATGGCTGGCGGCGTATCATCGCCGACTCTCGCAAACACACGCACGCCCATCGTAAAACGATGCTGCACAACGAGCGACTGCAATAAAGAACACGATCGGAAGCTCGGCACCACGGGCAGGCGCGCGTGTGAGCGGGCACGACTCGCAGTGCAGGGGCCTCGCTGGTGCCCGCTCGGAGCCACGCGCGGCAGGGCCGGTGCCTCGAGCTCGCGTTGGCTTGAAGACAACATACGCGGCCATCACAGAATACACGTGTCCCTTCTGTGGGCTCCTTCTCCCTGGACATTCCCTAGAAATGGTTATCCGACAATCCTCATCCCTCCTCGACAAACCTCCGTGTCGTGGCGCAGTGGCTGGCGCGTGGAGCCACTGACCCGGCGGCCCAGGTTCTGTTCCCTGCCATGGCCAACGTCAGTTGCAATTATGCGAACCGGTTGTGGGCCTCCCCCAGGTCGGCTCAGCATTAAATGAGTACTCTGTGCGGTGCGTACACATCGGCTCGGGGGAGACAATGGCGGCCGGCCGTGGTTCTGGCCACACCGGCCCCTCGTGCGCCGTCCCAGCCTCCGCAGGTCGATTGGTCGACGTGAACTTTGTTACTCCGCCGTGAGTCGTCGAAGGCCGAAGGGGAAGCGCGGACGGCAGAGGCCGGGTCCTGATGGGCGCTGGCGAATGTGTTGCGCCTGCACTTGAACTCGCCGATCGTTGTGACCTCACCACCGGGGCTGCCCGTGAGACGCTCTGTTGGCTTCATGCACCGCGCGCACTCTCACAGGTGGCGGTGACTGTGGGTCTATGACATCGCTCACGCTGGTTTATTGGTTCGCCCAGTTGCCTTGTATCGTGCATGTGTGTATCATGTGTGTGTGTGTCATGTATTGTGCATGTGTGTATCATGTATGTGTGTGTATCATGTATCGTGCATGTGTGTATCATGTATGTGTGTGTATCATGTATCGTGCATGTGTGTATCATGTATGTGTGTGTATCATGTATCGTGCATGTGTGTATCATGTGTGCGTGTATCCTGCATGTGCGTGTCCCGTGCTTGTGCATCAGGACTGCGCAGGAAGCGAGTTCACGATCCTCGCCGAGCTGCGGCCGTGCACCTCCACAAGCCGCGCCACGTGCCTCACCTCCGTGTCGCTGCTGCTGGCGCACGGCGGCGAGGTGAGCATCCTCACCACTCACCAACATCACCCACCACTCACCTCGCCCTACTCACCAACATCACCCACCACTCACCAACATCACCCACCACTCACCTCGCCCTGCTCACCAACATCACCCACCACTCACCAACATCACCCACCACTCACCTCGCCCTGCTCACCAACATCACCCACCACTCACCTCGCCCTACTCACCAACATCACCCACCACTCACCTCGATCTGCTCACCAACATCACCCACCACTCACCTCGCCCTGCTCACCAACATCACCCACCACTCACCTCGATCTACTCACCAACATCACTCACCACTCACCTCGCCCTACTCACCAACATCACCCACCACTCACCTCGCCCTGCTCACCAACATCACCCACCACTCACCTCGATCTACTCACCAACATCACCCACCACTCACCTCGCCCTACTCACCAACATCACCCACCACTCACCTCGCCCTACTCACCAACATCACCCATCACTCACCTCGCCCTACTCACCAACATCACCCACCACTCACCTCGATCTACTCACCAACATCACCCACCACTCACCTCGCCCTACTCACCAACATCACCCACGACTCACCTCGCCCTACTCACCAACATCACCCACCACTCACCTCGCCCTACTCACCAACATCACCCACCACTCACCTCGCTCTGCTCACCAACATCACCCACCACTCACCTCGCCCTACTCACCAACATCACCCACCACTCACCTCGCCCTACTCACCAACATCACCCACCACTCACCTCGATCTACTCACCAACATCACCCACCACTCACCTCGCCCTGCTCACCAACATCACCCACCACTCACCAACATCACCCACCACTCACCTCGCCCTACTCACCAACATCACCCACCACTCACCTCGCCCTACTCACCAACATCACCCACCACTCACCTCGCCCTGCTCACCAACATCACCCACCACTCACCAACATCACCCACCACTCACCTCGCCCTGCTCACCAACATCACCCACCACTCACCTCGCTCTGCTCACCAACATCACCCACCACTCACCTCGCCCTACTCACCAACATCACCCACCACTCACCTCGCCCTACTCACCAACATCACCCACCACTCACCTCGATCTACTCACCAACATCACCCACCACTCACCTCGCCCTGCTCACCAACATCACCCACCACTCACCAACATCACCCACCACTCACCTCGCCCTACTCACCAACATCACCCACCACTCACCTCGCCCTACTCACCAACATCACCCACCACTCACCAACATCACCCACCACTCACCAACATCACCCACCACTCACCTCCTCACCTCCGTGTCCCTGCTGCTGGTGCACGGCAGTGAGGTGAGTTCACTTGCTACTCAATCAGTAACTCCGAGTTCATCTCTCACAGGGCTGTTGCACACCTTTACGTATTCAGTTGCGGCGGTTATTCTAAAGTGTGGCTTCATGAATTCTAGGATGAATCACGACTGACTGAACGTAAACATTTGCTCGCTGCGCCGTCTGCTTCCCGGGTGTCAATGCGTGGTGACCTCCTGGGCTCGTCTCGGTGTCTGTGTCGCGCGTCTCAGGTCATGAAGTTTGAGTCGAATGGCCGTGTGTTCATGAACTCCATGATCCTCAACCTGCCCTTCAGCAACAATGGTGTGTGCAGCTCACAACACACACGTGACACACGCGTCATACCACACGTGACACACGCGCCACATGCCACACACCCTAACCATCATGTTAGAGTATGGTCAAATAACCCCCACAACCCCACACGGGGTGGGAGGCCCTCATCCAGCAGTGGAGTAACAAACAGTGGCGTGACAAACACGGCTGTGTATGTCCGTGCACAAAAATTGGTGTCGTGCGTTATCACTTCTGCAGACATCGAGAGTTTGAACAAAGTCTCAAACGTAATCTTGGTGAAGGCCGTACAGACACGGTAATCTCATTGCGATCTGCTTCAAACGCTTTCCATTCGTCACAGTGGAAACACAAATCGGTATTTCCCACCGGTAACCACCGCACCTTGTTCCAAGCCCTCACCGCACCTCAGCTGCGAGTTTTATCTCAGCACGTCCGTGTGCCACCGCCGTGGTTATTGTCGCGACTCTACGATAACTGCGCGGAGGCACGCAGGGAACGACCTGAAGGCGCCTTCCCCCCCCCCCCCCCCCCCCCCCCGTGTGCGCAGCCGGCCTGCAGGTGTTCCGCCAGTCGTCCATGTTCGTGCAGGTGGCCACCCGCTCCGGCCTGCACCTCCAAGTGCAGCTGCAGCCCCAGATGCAGCTCTACGTGAGCGTGTCCGTCGCCTACAAGAACCGCACCTGTGGTGAGGGCCTTGCACGGCGCGCACACCGTTTTGTCATCCCCACCGCGCCTTCGACGGTCGCGGCATGGAGATGAAGATTCAATTCGGAAATCTCCGAGTGGTGTAACCCTCTAAGTTGGAGAACAGCGCATGAAAGGGAATATTGCAGAGCTAGCGCCGAGGTCCCAAGTGACCCCTGGTCCACACTGCAGGGGGCAGCGCTTCCCCATCCGTTCTGCCACCAAGAGAAATGTTCGTGGCATTTCAGCCAATCCGAGATTCTCAGGGACGAGGGTCCAGGGTCCATATGGGGTTCCTGAGTCTGAGATCCGAGGTCCTGGGGTACAGGGCTCCAGGGTCTGGGGTCCTGGGATACAGGGTTCCGGGCTCTGGGATACAAGGGTCCTGGGGTACAGAGCTCCCAGCATCTGGGAATCAGGGGTCCTGGGGTACAGTGCTCCAGGGTCTGGGATCGGGGCTCCTGGGGGGTGCCACGGTCTCTGCGCTGGGCTCGCGGTACCGTCGTGACGCGCTGCCGCCGCGCCGCGCCAGGACTCTGCGGGAACTACAACGACGTGCTGGCGGACGAGCTGAAGACGTCGTGCGGCCTCGTGGAGGCCACCTCCACCCCCTTCGCCAACTCGTGGAAGGCGCAGACGGGCTGCCCCGACACGGCCGAGGAGCTGCAGGACCCGTGCTCCATCAACGCGCACACCGGTGGGTCCCGCGGGGCACGCGGGGCTCGGGTGAGCCCCTGCACGCAGTCGCCTGAGGGGCGCGATGCTGACCGGCGCCAGATGAGCGTGGCCCACGGTGGCGGCGCGAGATCGATGAATGCCGACTGTGCGGGGAGAGGAACTCGAGTTCCTATGCTCCGTGCCTCTGCAAATCGATTCCAAGTCACAACAGCAATAGTGCAACAATCACATTTCTAGTTAGGTTGTCAAATGTAGTCTAGATCGTGCATTTGGAATGGCTTTGATGTGAGCCCAAGTCGTAGCAATGCTGTTCATGCGTCATGAGTGGGTTTACGTCGTGTCCTGGTTAAACAGAGCAGACCGAAATTTCCCGTCAAACATATAAACATATTTGCTTGAATTGGCTTGTTTTCAAGCTCCATTGATTGAGCAATGTCTTTTTGAGTTTTGTTGTTATGATTAGTGTTGTAAAGCACCAAAGGATGCTTTGCATAAAGTGTACATTGTAAATTGAACTTTCGCAATGCCACCTCCATCGTCTGTGAATGTGGACGCAACTTCCTGATGAACTTCACGCGTAAGAGGTGGCTGGTTTATTGATGCTCAAGGACAAACCGCCAGTGGTCGGTGGCCGGGGTGGACCGAGTGGAGGCGCCGGTCACAATTGTAACGCAAGATGATCATTAACAGCGTCGTTGCTGAGAATACAAACGTACCCATCTGGACGAATACAATTCTTTACCTCTTGGTCTCCCTGCTTATGCTCTCACTCCCCTCTAACAAATAAAAAATGCTTCTGCTCAGATTATTTTCAATCTCTCATTTAATTCTCACACTTTGCCTCTCCTCCATCAATTCCACTGGCATCCCGTTTACTACACCGCTGGCTTTTGAAATACCTCACGAGTCTTTAAATATCTCCATGGCCTTGCCTCACCTCACCTCGCCTCTCTCATCTCCTGCCACGTCCCCTCCTCTCATCCTCTTCATTCCCAATCTTTGCTCTGTCCCTCCTTTTCACTGTGCCCAATCTCATGTTCGATCCTTCTCCCTCCTTGCACTCCTCCACTGGAATCAACTGCCCCTCCATCCATTTCCCTCTCAAATCCTCACCTCATCTCCATTGCACATTCCCTTCCTCTTCCCTCGCCTCTCCACTCCACTCTCAGTCCCCTATAACCCTTCCGTGACTCCACGTGCCACTCATTCCTCGGCCCTTGCATGCCCCCTGCCATCTATAATCTCTCGGTTTTTGTTATTGATTTTTTAACTTTGAAAAGCACCATCAGCTAAGGCATTCTATACACATAAAATAAGAAGATAAGCAGACAACACATCACATTCGTACATGTCTCTCCACATCACGGATTGGAATTCTAGGTCTGCAGGTCTGCGCTCAATCGCTCTTGCTCGCCATAGCTTGCGTTGGAATGCGCGTGGCATGGGGGGGGGGGTCACCGTGCAGCATTCTGTCACACAATCGTGTCTGCTCCGCGAGCTGCTCTCTCCTTTCACCCGGCATTGCCACGAACGTTTGAACCCTCCCCGCTCACGATGGCCGCCGCGCGTGTCGCTGCGTGCCAAGTTTCTGTACCTGCACGCTGGTATACCCGAAGACACGCAGCTCCAGTTAAACATTGGCTCGGCTGCCGTTCATATTGTTGGGTTAAGTAATTGGCATACAAACTTTAAACCACTGATTCGCCTCCACGCCCCCCCCCCCCAGCCCAGTACGCCGAGGAGACCTGCTCCAAGCTCTTGGACCCTCGGGGCCCCTTTGCCAAGTGCCACGGGGTGGTCAACCCCAACCATTTCTATAAGGTGGGTCGCCCTTCCATTCCAGCGAATGTGTTATTGACGTCGGACTTCGTGTGAATGGTCGCTCCAGCCCAGGAACCGTCGGCAAGGGGTGACTTCCAGACGTCAAGGGGCACGATTGTGGCCGTGATCTCAGTCCTGCCATCGTGCCTTGCACATTGCACGACTTCTCCACGGTGGCGCATGCCTGTAGCCAGCACCGTGGCGGCAGCAGTGAGGGTTGGTGGATCTTCGCACAAATATTGTGAACTCCATTCCCGTGGGCGTCGAGGAGGAAGGGGTGGTATGGCCAGTGGGCGAATTTGAATCGGTCCCTTCTGTCCGTATGGGATAGAACGTTGGCCCCTCACAAGCGCGGGTCTTCTCCGGGTACCCCGCCTTCCTCCCACACTGAAAGCATCGACATTTACCGAGGATTCAAGAGTTTGGGTAATTGATGCCGCCTGCTCGCCACATGGCTACTTTCCAGCTCGTCTGTGATTCCTCAGCAATTTTGGGATTTAATTGGCATGGACGATGACAGGAGATATAAACAAATCATTAAACCGCACTGCAATGTTTAAGACCATCGACTCAAAATATTAAAATCCTGCGGCCGTATTAGTCTTTGGCATAAGGTGTTAGAATCGGTTTAGGAAAAGGTGGGTTTGACCCATGACCTCCTATCACGATGCCACCACTGCTCCTCGTCGACTCTAAGCCACCTGGCCTAGCTCAGCGCCATGCAGGCGTCACGACTGCACGAGCCAAGAGAAAGCGCGGTGACACGGCACTACTAATGCTGCGCACGTGTGTGTGTGTGCGTGTGTGCGCGTGTGTACATGTGTGCGTGTGTACATGTGTGTGTGTGTGTGCGTGTGTGTGTGCGTGTGTGCGTGCACGCGTGCGTGTGCCACCTCCCACAGACATGCCGGCACGACACGTGCGAGTGCGAGAGCCCGGAGCGCTGTGTGTGCGCCGCGCTGGGCGCGTACGCACACGAGTGCGCGGCGCGCGGACACGTGCTCATCGGGTGGAGGGAGAAGGCGGGCGTGTGCAGTGAGTGTGCACCACGCTCACACCTGCACACACACGCACCGAGACAAAGATCCCCCGCATTGCCTTAACAGACTGCTGGGAGCAACACCTGTTAGCGAGCAGCTACGTAGGCCGGCACGGCACACGACGAGGGGCGGGTGGCCGGCACCACAGCCGGGCCGCCTTCGTCTCCCCGGCACAGGCCTCCCCACCTCCGCCGTGCGTTCACACGTGCCCCCACGCCCCCCTCCGCCTCAGCCGAGGCGACGCAGCAGTGCGGCGAGGGAGAGGAGTTCCAGTACGGCGCCTACGCCTGCAACGGCACGTGCACGTCGCTGTCGCAGTTCGACGCCTCGTGCCTGGTGACGGACACGCCCGTGGAGGGTTGCGCGTGCGACGGCTACCGCACGCAGGAGGGCACCTGCGTGGACGGGCCCTCGCTCTGCCCCTGCTACATCAACGGCCAGGCCATCGCTCCGGGCATGACCATCACGCGCAACGGCGCGCAGTGGTGAGTGTGAGGGAGTGCGGCAGGGCAAGGGCGCGGTGCAATCGCAAGACGCTGTAGTGAGACGGCTGGGCTATTTGTTTTACAGAGAGAGGCAGTCGGTCATGGGTGGAGGAAAGAGGAAAGGCTTGCTTCTGGACTTGAACCGGGGCAGGGAGTTGACAATACGGGTGGCTGGGGGAAGAGGGCAAGAGAATGAGCAACCTCGCATTCACCGAATATTAACTGGAGGCTACCCTGGAAAGCCTTGGTTACTGGAGCCGAGAGTGCATTAAGGGGAGTAGTAGAGTGAGATGAGAGGGGAGAGGTAGGCAGGAGCGAGTCAATGCGGAATCTTGAAGACGCCGAGTGCGAGCTTGAAGTTGATCTGGGGCTGGGAGTCGGTGGAGAGATCGGAGCATCGGGGAGAGGCGGTCACATTCATGGGTGCCGGAGAGACGACAGAAACACCAGTTTGGAGCACCTGCAGTGTCGAGACGAGGGATGTGAGGAGCCTGTCAGGGAGAGGGGCAAGATTTGGGTCGGGATTTGACGAATCCGTCGATGAGGGTCTCAGCAGTAGAGGCGCTACAGAAATGGTGGATGTCGTGCGGATGGACGTGCGCGCTCCAGCATAGTTGAGATGCCTGAGAGCTCGGGGGTTCACGGGACAGGGGCAGTGGCGCGGCCCAATGGGCGCCCGTTCACCGCTCTTTGCAGAGCTCCGCGGTTCGAGTCCAGCGGCTACCCCGATTAATACTGCGCTGTATTAACCACAACATTACTCTACTAAAGATCCCTTGATGTAATTCGCAAGAGAAGGCCACTGTGTGCCGGTGTCACGGTCCAAACTTGCCGCAATTTACTCCGTTACACAATCGCCCCCTCCTGCAAATCCTTGGCTGGACGAAACTGAAAGAGAGTGAAGAGACTCAATGAGGCTCTCCTGGGTAAACGCGTGTCATGACGGTGAAAGCAGGAGTCGCGGGGCAGGGCTTCCGCGTGGAGCTGCTTGCCGTTGCGTGCGTACGCTTACCCAACCGTTGTGTGCGCGCTGTTCCTCTCCTCCCAGTGTGTGCAGACATGGCGTGATCCAGTGCAAGTCCGAGACAGTGGCTGGTAAACCTCAGGCACAGACGTGCACACATGGGCACATGCGTGCACACACGCGTGCACAAACGCGGGCACACGTGCAGGCACATGCGTGCACACGCGTGCACACACGCGGGCACACGTACAGGCACACGCTTGCACATGCGTGCACACACGCGGGCACACGTGCAGGCACATGCGTGCACACGCGTGCACACACGCGGGCACACGTACAGGCACACGCTTGCACACGCGTGCACACACGCGGGCACACGTGCAGGCACATGCGTGCTTACTTCTCAGATCGACTTCAACCCAAACAATGCACCTCCCCCTGGCTTTGACATCCCTCCTCAAAGACGCCGGAACAATCAGAGCATCATCAACAGGCCAATGCACACGTCTCCTTCATGAGTGGAAAATAAAAGACACAGCCACAATGGCCATGTAACGCACAGTGAACCCGCTGTGGCGCTCCTTCAACAGAGAAGGAGGAATGGCACAATGACACGAACTGTCTCTCTGCTGAAGCCCTCTCGTTATGGCAGCAGCAGCAGCAGACTCCGACATTGGCATCGAGCTCCCGAACATCTTGCGATCAAACGCAAGAATAGCATAAGGCACATTTAATTTACACTTTACAATGTGTCCCTGTGCGAGTCCCTGTGTGTGTGTGTACATGTCTTTGTGTACACAGAGTGCCTCGCTCCACGGGTGTTCGTCAACTGCCAGACTGCTGGACTCGGGGTGCAGGGGCTGGCTTGCGAGCGGACGTGCCAAAACCCCCAGATGGAATGCGTGAGTGGCACACGCGCACACGCCCACCGACAGCGCAGCCGCTGCACTGCCACCGAGGGGGGAGAGATTCCCGTGGCACGGTTACAGGCAGGGCTCCAGGCGCGAGAGCAGCATTCGTCTCAATGGGTCCAAGTGGACGAGTGGCTCTGCCCCCCGGCTAACACAGCAAACGCTGGCGTGCACGTGTCGTGAACACGTGCGGGGAGCTGTAGTGGAGTGGTTGGGGTGCTTCTCTATGGACCAAGCAACCTGAATTCGATTCTCGCTCACGGCAGTGACGATTATCTGAACCGGTCCTGGGCCTCCTCTAGGTCGACCCAGCCTAAAAAATTAGTACCCGGTGCAGTGTGTAAACATCAGCAATGGCAGCCGGACGTGGTGCTGACCACGCCACCCCCTTGTGTACCATGCCGCCCTTCGCAGGTGCTCGCTAACACCACTTGCCCCAACGGTCTGTTAAAGGCTACACGGGGGATCTTTGTGTTTGTGTGCAGTACACGCCCGGCTGCGTGTCGGGCTGCATGTGCCCCGAGGGCACTGTGCTGGACAGCGCCGATGAGTGCGTGAGCCCTGACCAGTGCCCGTGCCAGCACAACGGCCAGAGCTACAGCCCGGGCGACAGAGTGGCCGTCGACTGCAACACGTGGTGAGCGGCCGGTGTTGCGTGCTTACTCCGATCCCCCAACCGTAATCACTCCCACCCCCCGCCCCCCTGCCCCGAATCTCAATCCTTTCCTCCACACCATTGATATCCCAAGTTGAGGCTTCACCGAGGTCGATGCATGTAAAGCTACGGCAGGTTAGCCGCCGCGCGGACCCTGAGCAGACGCGTCTGCGCGTGCGCGTGCAGCACGTGCGAGGGCGCTCGCTGGAGCTGCACGGACGACGACTGCATGGGGCTGTGCTCCTTCTACGGGGACGGACACTACACCACCTACGACGGGCGGCGCTTCCTGTTCGACGGGAAGTGCGAGTACATCCTCTCGCAGGTGAGGCCCCCCCTCCCGCTGCCGCCCCCTCCCCCTGGCCCCCCCTCCCCCTGGCCGCCCCCTCCCCCTGACCCCCCACCCCCCTCTTGCTCTGTGCTCGTGACGCTGTGCGGCGAGCTACGCGCCACGGGGTCGTGCCGGTTTCTGCCTCCCGCAGGACTTCTGTCCGTCCAACCCTGCGGGCGGAAGCTTCCGCGTCATCACAGAGAACATGGCGTGCGGAACCTCGGGCGTCGCCTGCTCCAAGAGCATCAAACTCCTGCTCGGGGTGGAGTACCTCACCACCACCACTCACCACCACCACTCACCACCACCACCACTCACCACCACCACCACTCACCACCACTCACCACCACCACCACCACTTACCACCACCACTCACCACCACCACTCACCACCACTACTCACCACCACTCACCACCACCACCACTCACCACCACCACTCACCACCACCACCACCACTCACCACCACTCACCACCACCACACACCACTCACCACCACTCACCACCACTCACCACCACCACTCACCACCACTCACCACCACCACCCACCACCACACACCACCACCACTCACCACCACCACTCACCACCACCACTCACCACCACCACTCACCACCACCATCACTCACCACCACCACCACTCACCACCACTCACCACCACCACTCACCACCACCACTCACCACCACCACTCGCCTGCGCACACCACCACTCTCCACTACTCCTCTGTGCCCACCACCACTCACCACCACTCACTTGAGCTCCTATATTCATCTGCATTCACCTCGACTCGTCCCCTACACTCACATCCACTCGCCTGAAATCATCTACAGCAGTCACCTGCACTTCCCTATGCTCACCTCAGAATCGGTATCTCGATTTATACTGCAGAAATCCGATGCGCCATAAAAGTATTGTTCACAGATGTCCAGTAGGGAGAGGTCAAAAGGTTACAACAAACAATGTAAAACATGATAGGAGTGCAAAGTATAGGAAAGGTTATCAAATCACAAAAAAATGTGAAATAAACAATGTTTAGAGAAATACACTCTTTTATTTTATCAGGTAAAGGTCACTCAGCTCATGGCTTATTTTTCAGAAGCGACCTGGCCATAAATGATAGCTCAACGAAGTGGCTTATCATGTAGAAATGTATAGCAGCCAAATAATCTAATCACCACCACTCACCAACACTCCCCTGCACTCACCTGCACTCACCTGCACTCGCCTGCGTCGCAGCTGGGGTTTACGTGGTGGTGGTGTTCGCTGCCGCGTGTCCCAGGACGTGGAGATCCGCTTTGCCGATGGCGATCACAGCATCAGCTCCGTGACGAGTGGGGCGGGCCCCCACATCCCGTACAGGATGCGAAAGCTGGGGGGCACCCACATCGTGGAGGCCGCCAACGGGCTGCTGCTGCAGTGGGACGGGGGCAACAGCGTGCGCCTCATGGTCTCCTCCGACAGCCGGGTACGACGTCGCCTCTCTCGCCCACGCGGCGCAGGCACATAGGGGACGGAAGCCTCCCGCTTCACCGGGGGGCAATCAGCATTGGTAATCGGCCTTAAAAGAGATTACCAACTCTTACGACCCTCGCTGCACTGATGACACAACCGTAAACCGGTGGCTGAGCATGACTGCCAGAACCTCGTTTGCTCGAAACCACTTGAGTCTATAGATTTTTCACTCTTAGCCTGTACCCCCTCTCCCCACACTCCTCCCTCTCTCTCCCAATGCCTTTCTACCTGCTCTCCATTACTCTCTCCCATTTCTCTCTACATCTCTCCCTACTTTTTCGCCAATCTTTCTCTGCCTCTCCATTACTCTCTTTCCCTCGCTCCCTCTCCCTACCTTCACACCTCTACCCCTCCCTGCCCGCTTCTTGGCGCAGGGCCGGCTGTGCGGGCTGTGCGGAGACATGGACGGAGACTCCGCCAACGACTTCACGGTGCGAGGCCAGGTGGTGGTGGCGAGCCCCGTGGAGTTTGGGAACTCCTGGCAGGTCTCGTCCCTCGCGTGCGCGAAGACCACCGCCAACGCCGACCCGTGCTACATGAACCCGTACCGCAAGGCGTGGGCCGAGCGGGAGTGTTCGCGCGTGAAGGGAGACGCGTTCAAGGGCTGCCACGCCAAGGTGCGACTTCTTGATCGTTCGTCTCTCGGCGCCCTCTGCCTGCGGAATTCCAGCTTGCCTCCTTCAGCCTCTTGCAAGGCCTCCACCAGCAGTGCTCTGATCGCTGGCTGTGTCAGCCCGGAAGCCGGCAAGGACCCCTATGCGTGCCTAGGTGGCCCCCTAATGTCAACGGGCTTAAGCGAAGGCAACCATTCACCGTGAATCCGATGAGCATGGTTAGCTATGTACAGTGCCAAAGAAGTTCGACATTTACGAGTGCCAGCTGCTCATTGGCCTCATGGCTACGAGCGGAATTATTATCCCAACTATTGCCGCTGCTTAGTGTAAGATAACATATATAATCGCTTCATGGCTACTCAGTGGTGGATGGAAGCCTGAAAGGTATACTAGAATGCCTTAGATCTCCACTACAAATAAGTTACGGTACACTTTTGTATATATACACTAGAAAAACCACATCAAGTTAGATTGCCTTGGATAAGGCTGAATAGACCTATGTGTGGTTACAGTCAATTTGGCACGCTGATTTGGCAGTATTTTGGCATGCATGTTGTTGAAGGCTGCTCTTACCATGGTGGCTAGGAAAGTGGAATGAAGAGGTTGAGTGAAATTGTTGACTTCAATCAAGCAGTCGATTGCTCATCCAGAATATCAATCCATGATAGATCGCAGTAGGCGGTGTGACATTGAGCGGCAGTGCTCTCCCAACTGCACCGAGCTGCAGTGCGACGTTGAGTAGCAGACCGACGCGGGACTGTGTGCTGCAGGTCGACCCCCTGCCGTACTACGAGGCGTGCGTGCGTGACTCGTGCGGCTGCGACATGGGCGGCGACTGCGCCTGCTTCTGCACGGCCATGTCGGCCTACGCGCAGGCCTGCCGCGACGCCGGGGAGTGCATCGCCTGGAGGTCCCCGGTCATCTGCCGTGAGTCCCGCGAACCGCGGTCCCTGCACGACGAGCAAAGCGGGAGGATGGATCGATGGTTGTTACTTGTTCTTAAACGGGACCGAAAGTGGGAGAAATAGCGGTGCGGCGGTTAGCACACAGCGCCACAAGCTTTACGAGTCGAGGTGAATTCCTGACCACGGCTAACGTTAGCGGTAAGTTATAACGTGACCTAGTCCTGCCCCCCTTCTCCCACCGCACCAACCCGCACTGGCCAGCACCGTAACCATGGTATAACGTGTGGAGGTCACTTGTTTATGATTCAACTGTGAATGTGTTCCTGGTGATTGCGCATTCACTCGGTCAACCAACATTCATGTTTAAAACAAGTCCGCTAGATGATCAATGTGCATGTACACAAAGAATAAAATGCAAATTTAATCGAGTGAGAAATCAACTATATCCGCACAGCCAGTAGGAATCAAAACTCATAAAGAGCAAGATAGAGAGCTGGGTCTTGAGTGAATATTTAAAGCTCTCTACCTACAGACACTCGCTTATCCCACTAGGTTGAGAGTTCCACAGGCTATGAACCACACTACAGGGCATTGAGACCGATATTGTGAATGGTGCATTACACAGTGGATGATGATGATGTGCTAGTAGCGAGCATGAACACAGGTCCCCGTACGTATGCGTGTGTGACCGCGTGCGCGTTCCCCCACAGCGGCATTCTGCGACTACTACAACGAGCCGGGCCACGAGTGCGAGTGGCACTTCGAGCCGTGCAAGAAGCCGTGCATCCAGAGCTGCCGCTACCCAGAGCAGAACTGCTCCACCCACCTCCCCTCCATTGAGGGTAAGGGTTACACACGCTGGGGGGATCCAGGGCCCCGTGGCGGGGACGAGGAGGAGTTGTTTGCAGTCCTTCTCAAACAATGAGACGGAGTTTCTTCTCCACACGCCGTGGCAACTCCAACACGCCGTCGTTAGAAAATCGACAATGTGAAAGTGTCCGAGGCCGCACGGTGCTGACTTCTATCCCCTGTGCCTCCTGTGTCCCCCCCCCCCGCGCCCAGGCTGCTTTCCCACGTGCCCCCCTGAGTTCCCTTTCCTAGAGGAGAACAGCATGAAGTGCGTGGCGCTAGAAGACTGTGGCTGCTATGACTCTGACGACCCGAGCATCCACTACAACACGAGCGAGACCGTGCCGTCGTCCAATCGCTGCGAACACTGGTGAGCACCGTTCCGATTCCCACACCACCAGTGCGTGACCCTCACCACTCACCCTCACCAGATGACAGTGCCCTCGCTACACAAGCGTTCAGCATCTAAGGCAGTGGTGGCCAATACATCGAGCGCTCTCATCTATTTTGGTGGGTCTCAATGGACTCCACGATGCAAAAGAAAATATTACCAACAATTATTTGGATTTAACCCTGTAGTGCCCAAGTATACATATTTAATGAGGGCAGCTACTTTTTTATGTAAGTACTAATCACGGATTATTAGTATGAATTATAACGCTGTACATTACACATGCGGGACACTAACATTAAACATTTAGCTTTATGCAGCATTCCCATCACTTAGATTAGCTTTGCATGTGCGACTGCTATATTAACTAAGCATTCAAACATATCTAAAAATATAACACCACTACGCATCACTCGGTCCAACCCAGGCTGTGCGATGTTGCACGGACAGCTAGGCCCAACTCAGGCTCCATCATGTGTGCAGCCAACTAGGCCCGATGCGAAGGCTCGACCTCACTTGTCACCAACACGGCCTAAAGTACCGCCGGGGGCCTAAAATACCACCCATTTGCCCCAAGTCAATTGTGATCTAGCGCTCTGCATGCCACTATTATATGCTCATGTTGCCGTTTGTTCGAATTTGTGCCGAGATTCACAAAAATTATCTTGTGATCCACGCATTGGCCACACTCACCAGCAGGTGAAAAGACGGCAATACTGTGTGACAGAGAACCTTCGCAACACGTTTCTCTAGAGGTTTACCGCAGTCCCTTCTCCTTGGAGGTGTTAATCGTGTTCCGTCGCATGCAGCCTGTGCACGGCGGAGTCGCGCATCGAGTGCACGCCCGTTCCGGAGTGCGCGTGCATTTGGAACGGGACCGAGTACCAGTACAACGAGACCATCTACGTGGTGGACGACGGCATGGGCGTGTGCTACGAGGCTTACTGCGGCGAAAATGGCAACGTCTCCTACCGCGTGGTGACACCGTGCGGCAGCACAACCACACCTACTGTTGGCAGCACCGCCAGCACCACCGGTCCCACTGTCGTCACCATCAGCCAAACCACAACCACCATATTCAGTGAGTGTTCCTGCACCTGGCCCAATTGTCTTGCACAAGTCCTGTAATTCTCGATCTGTAGTTCTATCCTTGTAGCTCTAGACCTCGAGTTCGACCCCACCTTTACTTCTCTCACCCGAGCGCTCCAGCGACGGCTAACGTGACGATGGACATGTGCCCTCACATCATTACATAACAGATGCTCACATGCAGTATCCAGGAGTCTCCTCTATTTAACTAAAATATACTTCAACCTGCTTGAGACGCATGTATCATCGCCTCTTTGGCAAGGGCGACCGGGAATTCAGAGTCAATTTACATTCACAGAATGTTTCAAAATATTTTATTGCTAATGAATCTAACAGAAAAGTAAAAATAATATAATGTAAATACATTGATTAGGCTAAGTTACTAATGGCGGTTTGCTAATGAAAAAAGTACAAGGAGTATGAAATACTATCTGGAAGGAAATTAGTGCAAATATATAAAATTATACAATGTGATTAAATGTCAACAGATTGCCTTCAGGTGGCCACTTAGACAAATGTAGCCTTAGATGAGATCCCTTGCCTCTTGAGTTACTGATGCTTCCATTCGTTTGTGAGTTACGCCTAACACTGCGGTGGTCTCTGCTGTAACAGCAACCGTGGTTACAGTGACATCCGGACAAACTGGTCAAACCACCGCAACAACTACAGCCTCAACGAGCCCCACCACAGCAACCTCAACGAGCCCCACCACAGCTACCTCCGCAACAACAACCACAGCGACAGGCACTACAACCCCAACAGGATCGTCCCAGCTGTCCTCAACTCAGACTCCTGTAGCAACCACCAGCTCCGGCCCTGTGTGGGAATGTGAGTGGACAGATTGGATAAACACCGACTACCCAAAAAAAGATGGCGTTGGAGACAACGAGACATACGCTCACATCTCGGAAAAAATCAACTGGGTCTGCGATCACCCCATCAACATCAGCTGTGAGGCAGTGAGTTTCCCGGGCGCGCCGATAACCGACCTGAACACCAACGTGATCTGCGACAAGGACCTGGGCTTCATCTGCCTCCATAAACATAGTGGAGGCGTTGATGACATATGCTACGACTACCATATCAAAGTCCTGTGCTGTAACACAACAATAGGGACACCACCAACCACCATACCCAGCACAACTCCATCAACAACTTCCAGCACAACCCCATCAACCTATCCACCCTCAACCACTCCACCATCAACACCACCAACAACTTCAAGCACTTCATCAACGCCACCAACCACCACACCCAGCAAAACTCCACCGACTTCCAGCACAACCCTAACAACCCATCCACCCTCAATCACTCCTCCATCAACACCACCAACACCACCAACAACCTCAAGTACCCCACGAACAACCACTTCAACCACTCCCAGGACAACACCACCATTACCATCGTCAACGATCACTACAACCCCAACAGGATCGTCCCAGCTGTCCTCAACTCAGACTCCTGTAGCAACCACCAGCTCCGGCCATGTGTGGGAATGTGAGTGGACAGATTGGATAAACACCGACTACCCAAAAAAAGATGGCGTTGGAGACAACGAGACATACGCTCACATCTCGGAAAAAATCAACTGGGTCTGCGATCACCCCATCAACATCAGCTGTGAGGCAGTGAGTTTCCCGGGCGCGCCGATAACCGACCTGAACACCAACGTGATCTGCGACAAGGACCTGGGCTTCATCTGCCTCCATAAACATAGTGGAGGTGTTGATGACATATGCTACGACTACCATATCAAAGTCCTGTGCTGTAACACAACAATAGGGACACCACCAACCACCATACCCAGCACAACTCCATCAACAACTTCCAGCACAACCCCATCAACCTATCCACCCTCAACCACTCCACCATCAACACCACCAACAACTTCAAGCACTTCATCAACGCCACCAACCACCACACCCAGCAAAACTCCACCGACTTCCAGCACAACCCTAACAACCCATCCACCCTCAATCACTCCTCCATCAACACCACCAACACCACCAACAACCTCAAGTACCCCACGAACAACCACTTCAACCACTCCCAGGACAACACCACCATTACCATCGTCAACGATCACTACAACCCCAACAGGATCGTCCCAGCTGTCCTCAACTCAGACTCCTGTAGCAACCACCAGCTCCGGCCATGTGTGGGAATGTGAGTGGACAGATTGGATAAACACCGACTACCCAAAAAAAGATGGCGTTGGAGACAACGAGACATACGCTCACATCTCGGAAAAAATCAACTGGGTCTGCGATCACCCCATCAACATCAGCTGTGAGGCAGTGAGTTTCCCGGGCGCGCCGATAACCGACCTGAACACCAACGTGATCTGCGACAAGGACCTGGGCTTCATCTGCCTCCATAAACATAGTGGAGGTGTTGATGACATATGCTACGACTACCATATCAAAGTCCTGTGCTGTAACACAACAATAGGGACACCACCAACCACCATACCCAGCACAACTCCATCAACAACTTCCAGCACAACCCCATCAACCCATCCACCCTCAACCACTGCACCATCAACACCACCAACAACTTCAATCACTTCATCAACACCACCAACCACCACACCCAACAAAACTCCACCAACTTCAAGCACAACCCCATCAAACACTCCACCTTCAACAACACCAACCACCATACCCAGCACAACTTCATCAACAACTTCCAGCACAATACCACCAACAACTTCAATCACTCCATCAACACCACCAACATCCCCAATCATCACACCCAGCAACACTCCATCAAAAACTTTCAGCACAACGCCATCAACCATTCCAACGTCAACCACTCCACCATCAACACCTCCAGCAACTTCAATCACTCCACCATCAACCACTGCACGATCAACACCACCAACAACTTCAAGCACTTCATCAACACCACCAACCACCACACCCAGCAAAACTCCACCAACTTCAAGCACAACCCCATTAAACACTCCACCTTCAACACCACCAACAACCTCACTCACTCCACCAACATCACCAACCACCAAACCCAGCACAACTTCATCAACAACTTCCAGCACTACCCCACCAACAACTTCAAGCACTCTACCAACACCACCAATAACCTCAATCACTCCACCGACAACTTCAATCACTCCACCATCAACCACTGCACCATCAACACCACCAACAACTTCAAGCACTTCATCAACACCAGCAACCACCACACCCAGCAAAACTCCACCAACTTCAAGCACAAGCCCATCAAACACTCCACTATCAACACCACCAACAACTTCAATCACTCCACCATCAACCACTGCACCATCAACACCACCAACAACTTCAATCACTTCACCAACACCACCAACATCCCCAATTACCACAACTCCATCAACCACTTCACCATCAACCACTGCACCATCAACACCACCAACAACTTCAATCACTCCACCATCAACCACTGCACCATCAACACCACCAACAACTTCAAGCACTTCATCAACACCACCAACCACCACACCCAGCAAAACACCACCAACTTCAAGCACAACCCCATCAAACACTCCACTATCAACACCACCAACAACTTCAATCACTCCACCATCAACCACTGCACCATCAACACCACCAACAACTTCAAGCACTTCATCAACACCACCAACCACCACACCAAGCAAAACTCCATCAACTTCAAGCACAACCCCATCAAACACTCCACCTTCAACAACACCAACCACCATACCCAGCACAACTTCATCAATAACTTCCAGCACAACACCACCAACAACTTCAATCACTCCATCAACACCACCAACATCCCCAATCACCACACCCAGCAACACTCCATCAAAAACTTTCAGCACAACGCCATCAACCATTCCAACGTCAACCACTCCACCATCAACACCTCCAGCAACTTCAATCACTCCACCATCAACCACTGCACCATCAACACCACCAACAACTTCAAGCACTTCATCAACACCACCAACCACCACACCCAGCAAAACTCCACCAACTTCAAGCACAACCCCATTAAACACTCCACCTTCAACACCACCAACAACCTCACTCACTCCACCAACATCACCAACCACCAAACCCAGCACAACTTCATCAACAACTTCCAGCACTACCCCACCAACAACTTCAAGCACTCTACCAACACCACCAATAACCTCAATCACTCCACCGACAACTTCAATCACTCCACCATCAACCACTGCACCATCAACACCACCAACAACTTCAAGCACTTCATCAACACCAGCAACCACCACACCCAGCAAAACTCCACCAACTTCAAGCACAAGCCCATCAAACACTCCACTATCAACACCACCAACAACTTCAATCACTCCACCATCAACCACTGCACCATCAACACCACCAACAACTTCAAGCACTTCATCAACACCACCAACCACCACACCCAGCAAAACACCACCAACTTCAAGCACAACCCCATCAAACACTCCACTATCAACACCACCAACAACTTCAATCACTCCACCATCAACCACTGCACCATCAACACCACCAACAACTTCAAGCACTTCATCAACACCACCAACCACCACACCAAGCAAAACTCCATCAACTTCAAGCACAACCCCATCAAACACTCCACCTTCAACAACACCAACCACCATACCCAGCACAACTTCATCAATAACTTCCAGCACAACACCACCAACAACTTCAATCACTCCATCAACACCACCAACATCCCCAATCACCACACCCAGCAAAACTCCATCAACAACTTTCAGCACAACGCCATCAACCATTCCAACGTCAACCACTCCACCATCAACACCTCCAACAACTTCAAGCACTTCACTATCAACCACTGCACCATCAACACCACCAACAACTTCAAGCACTTCATCAACACCACCAACCACCACACCCAGCAAAACACCACCAACTTCAAGCACAACCCCATCAAACACTCCACTATCAACACCACCAACAACTTCAATCACTCCACCATCAACCACTGCACCATCAACACCACCAACAACTTCAAGCACTTCATCAACACCACCAACCACCACACCAAGCAAAACTCCATCAACTTCAAGCACAACCCCATCAAACACTCCACCTTCAACAACACCAACCACCATACCCAGCACAACTTCATCAATAACTTCCAGCACAACACCACCAACAACTTCAATCACTCCATCAACACCACCAACATCCCCAATCACCACACCCAGCAACACTCCATCAAAAACTTTCAGCACAACGCCATCAACCATTCCAACGTCAACCACTCCACCATCAACACCTCCAGCAACTTCAATCACTCCACCATCAACCACTGCACCATCAACACCACCAACAACTTCAAGCACTTCATCAACACCACCAACCACCACACCCAGCAAAACTCCACCAACTTCAAGCACAACCCCATTAAACACTCCACCTTCAACACCACCAACAACCTCACTCACTCCACCAACATCACCAACCACCAAACCCAGCACAACTTCATCAACAACTTCCAGCACTACCCCACCAACAACTTCAAGCACTCTACCAACACCACCAATAACCTCAATCACTCCACCGACAACTTCAATCACTCCACCATCAACCACTGCACCATCAACACCACCAACAACTTCAAGCACTTCATCAACACCAGCAACCACCACACCCAGCAAAACTCCACCAACTTCAAGCACAAGCCCATCAAACACTCCACTATCAACACCACCAACAACTTCAATCACTCCACCATCAACCACTGCACCATCAACACCACCAACAACTTCAAGCACTTCATCAACACCACCAACCACCACACCCAGCAAAACACCACCAACTTCAAGCACAACCCCATCAAACACTCCACTATCAACACCACCAACAACTTCAATCACTCCACCATCAACCACTGCACCATCAACACCACCAACAACTTCAAGCACTTCATCAACACCACCAACCACCACACCCAGCAAAACACCACCAACTTCAAGCACAACCCCATCAAACACTCCACTATCAACACCACCAACAACTTCAATCACTCCGCCATCAACCACTGCACCATCAACACCACCAACAACTTCAAGCACTTCATCAACACCACCAACCACCACACCAAGCAAAACTCCATCAACTTCAAGCACAACCCCATCAAACACTCCACCTTCAACAACACCAACCACTATACCCAGCACAACTTCATCAATAACTTCCAGCACAACACCACCAACAACTTCAATCACTCCATCAACACCACCAACATCCCCAATCACCACACCCAGCAAAACTCCATCAACAACTTTCAGCACAACGCCATCAACCATTCCAACGTCAACCACTCCACCATCAACACCTCCAACAACTTCAAGCACTTCACTATCAACCACTGCACCATCAACACCTCCAACAACTTCAAGCACTTCATCAACACCACCAACCACCACACCCAGCAAAACTCCACCAACTTCAAGCACAACCCCATCAAACACGCCACTATCAACACCACCAACAACCTCACTCACTCCACATACACCATCAACCACGTCGATCACTCCATCAACAACTGCAACCACCACACCAAGCACAACCCCATCAAACACTCCACTATCAACAACACCAACAACCTCAATCACTCCACAAACACCATCAACAACTGCAACCACCACACCCAGCACAACTCCATCAACAACTTCCAGCACAACCCCATCAACCCATCCACCCTCAACCACTCCACCATCAACAACACCACCAACAACTTCAATCACTTCACCAACATCCCCAACCACCACAACTCCATCAACCACTTCCAGCACAACCCCATCAACCACTTCACCCTCAACCACTGCACCATCAACACCACCAACAACTTCAATCACTTCATCAACACCACCAACCACCACACCCAACAAAACTCCACCAACTTCAAGCACAACCCCATCAAACACTCCACCTTCAACACCACCAACAACCTCACTCACTCCACCAACATCACCAACCACCATACCCAGCACAACTTCATCAACAACTTCCAGCACTACCCCACCAACAACTTCAAACACTCCACCTTCAACACCTCCAGCAACTTCAAGCACTTCATCAACACCACCAACCACCACACCCAGCAAAACTCCACCAACTTCAAGCACAACCCCATCAAACACGCCACTATCAACACCACCAACAACCTCACTCACTCCACATACACCATCAACCACGTCGATCACTCCATCAACAACTGCAACCACCACACCAAACACAACCCCATCAAATACTCCACTATCAACAACACCAACAACCTCAATCACTCCACAAACACCATCAACAACTGCAACCACCCCACCCAGCACAACTCCATCAACAACTTCCAGCACAACCCCATCAACCCATCCACCCTCAACCACTCCACCATCAACAACACCACCAACAACTTCAATCACTTCACCAACACCACCAACATCCCCAACCACCACAACTCCATCAACCACTTCACCATCAACCACTGCACCATCAACACCACCAACAACTTCAATCACTCCACCATCAACCACTGCACCATCAACACCACCAACAACTTCAATCACTCCACCATCAACCACTGCACCATCAACACCACCAACAACTTCAATCACTCCACCATCAACCACTGCACCATCAACACCACCAACCACTTCACCAAGCAAAACTACACCAACTTCCAGCACAACCCCATCAACCCATCCACCCTCAACCACTCCACCATCAACACCACCACAAACAACTTCAATCACTTCACCAACACCACCAACCACTTCACCAAGCAAAACTCCACCAACTTCCAGCACAACCCCATCAACCCATCCACCCTCAACCACTCCACCATCAACACCACCACAAACAACTTCAATCACTTCACCAACACCACCAATATCCCCAACCACCACAACCCCATCAACCACTTCACCATCAACCACTGCACCATCAACACCACCAACAACTTCAAGCACTTCATCAACACCACCAACCACCACACCCAGCAAAACTCCACCAACTTCAAGCACAACCCCATCAAACACTCCACCTTCAACAACACCAACCACCATACCCAGCACAACTTCATCAATAACTTCCAGCACAACACCACCAACAACTTCAATCACTCCATCAACACCACCAACATCCCCAATCACCACACCCAGCAACACTCCATCAAAAACTTTCAGCACAACGCCATCAACCATTCCAACGTCAACCACTCCACCATCAACACCTCCAGCAACTTCAATCACTCCACCATCAACCACTGCACGATCAACACCACCAACAACTTCAAGCACTTCATCAACACCACCAACCACCACACCCAGCAAAACTCCACCAACTTCAAGCACAACTCCATTAAACACTCCACCTTCAACACCACCAACAACCTCACTCACTCCACCAACATCACCAACCACCAAACCCAGCACAACTTCATCAACAACTTCCAGCACTACCCCACCAACAACTTCAAGCACTCTACCAACACCACCAATAACCTCAATCACTCCACCGACAACTTCAATCACTCCACCATCAACCACTGCACCATCAACACCACCAACAACTTCAAGCACTTCATCAACACCAGCAACCACCACACCCAGCAAAACTCCACCAACTTCAAGCACAAGCCCATCAAACACTCCACTATCAACACCACCAACAACTTCAATCACTCCACCATCAACCACTGCACCATCAACACCACCAACAACTTCAAGCACTTCATCAACACCACCAACCACCACACCCAGCAAAACACCACCAACTTCAAGCACAACCCCATCAAACACTCCACTATCAACACCACCAACAACTTCAATCACTCCACCATCAACCACTGCACCATCAACACCACCAACAACTTCAAGCACTTCATCAACACCACCAACCACCACACCAAGCAAAACTCCATCAACTTCAAGCACAACCCCATCAAACACTCCACCTTCAACAACACCAACCACCATACCCAGCACAACTTCATCAATAACTTCCAGCACAACACCACCAACAACTTCAATCACTCCATCAACACCACCAACATCCCCAATCACCACACCCAGCAAAACTCCATCAACAACTTTCAGCACAACGCCATCAACCATTCCAACGTCAACCACTCCACCATCAACACCTCCAGCAACTTCAATCACTCCACCATCAACCACTGCACGATCAACACCACCAACAACTTCAAGCACTTCATCAACACCACCAACCACCACACCCAGCAAAACTCCACCAACTTCAAGCACAACCCCATCAAACACGCCACTATCAACACCACCAACAACCTCAATCACTCCACAAACACCATCAACCACGTCGATCACTCCATCAACAACTGCAACCACCACACCCAGCACAACCCCATCAAACACGCCACTATCAACACCACCAACAACCTCAATCACTCCACAAACACCATCAACCACGTCGATCACTCCATCAACAACTGCAACCACCACACCCAGCACAACCCCATCAAACACTCCACTATCAACAACACCAACAACCTCAATCACTCCACAAACACCATCAACAACTGCAACCACCACACCCAGCACAACTCCATCAACAACTTCCAGCACAACCCCATCAACCCATCCACCCTCAACCACTCCACCATCAACAACACCACCAACAACTTCAATCACTTCACCAACACCACCAACATCCCCAACCACCACAACTCCATCAACCACTTCCAGCACAACCCCATCAACCACTTCACCCTCAACCACTGCACCATCAACACCACCAACAACTTCAAGCACTTCACCATCAACCACTGCACCATCAACACCACCAACAACTTCAATCACTTCATCAACACCACCAACCACCACACCCAACAAAACTCCACCAACTTCAAGCACAACCCCATCAAACACTCCACCTTCAACACCACCAACAACCTCACTCACTCCACCAACATCACCAACCACCATACCCAGCACAACTTCATCAACAACTTCCAGCACTACCCCACCAACAACTTCAAGCACTCTACCAACACCACCAATAACCTCAATCACTCCACCGACAACTTCAATCACTCCACCATCAACCACTGCACCATCAACCCCACCAACAACTTCAAGCACTCCACCAACACCACCAACATCCCCAACCACCACACCCAGCAAAACTCCATCAACAACTTTCAGCACAACGCCATCAACCATTCCAACGTCAACCACTCCACCATCAACACCTCCAACAACTTCAAGCACTTTATCAACACCACCAACCACCACACCCAGCAAAACTCCACCAACTTCAAGCACAACCCCATCAAACACGCCATTATCAACACCACCAACAACCTCACTCACTCCACATACACCATCAACCACGTCGATCACTCCATCAACAACTGCAACCACCACACCAAACACAACCCCATCAAATACTCCACTATCAACAACACCAGCAACCTCAATCACTCCACAAACACCATCAACAACTGCAACCACCACACCCAGCAAAACTCCACCAACTTCAAGCACAACCCCATCAAACACTCCACATTCAACACCACTAACAACCTCAATCACTTCACCAACATCACCAACCACCAAACCCAGCACAACTTCATCAACAACTTCCAGCACTACCCCACCAACAACTTCAAGCACTCTACCAACACCACCAATAACCTCAATCACTCCACCGACAACTTCAATCACTCCACCATCAACCACTGCACCATCAACACCACCAACAACTTCAAGCACTTCATCAACACCACCAACCACCACACCCAGCAAAACTCCACCAACTTCAAGCACAACCCCATCAAACACTCCACCTTCAACACCACCAACAACCTCACTCACTCCACCAACACTACCAACCACCATACCCAGCACAACTTCATCAACAACTTCCAGCACAACTCCATCAACCACTCCAGTATCAACACCAGCGACAACAAATTCAGCTACAACAACCAAAATGATAGAGACACCAAATACAACACCACCTACCACACATAGCACGCCTCTATCTTCCACCTGCTCGCCCCATTGCGAGTGGTCAAGATGGATCTCATCTGATAACCCAAGGGTTGATGTTGTTGGAGACAATGAGACGTTTGCTCATATCCGGGAAGTAGAAGGAGAAAATATCATCTGCTTTGAGCCCAGTGACATCGAGTGCCGAATTATTGGTTCAGAGAACAGAGAGCTTCAGCCGGGCATTATCTGTGACAAGGATGAGGGCTTGCTTTGTCTCAACAATGACCTTCACTTATGTGAAGACTACGAGATCAAGGTTCTCTGCTGTGTGATTTGTGATCGACCTGAAACAACCACCCCATACATTTCAACACCAATGACTGCAGGTATAGGGATACCCACAACCACCCCCAGCACAACCCCATCAACCAGTCCACCATCAACACCACCACCAACAGTTTCAAGCACTCCATCAATACCACCAACACCCTCGGCCACCACACCCAGCACAACTCCGTCAACTTCAATGATTCCACCATCAACCACTCCACCAACACCCGCAACTACCACATCCAGTACAACACCATCAACAACTTCCAGCACAACCCCATCAACCGCCCCACCATCAACACCATCTACAGCTTCAAGCACTCCACCAACACTACCAACAACTTCGATCACTCCACAAACAACCTCGAGCACTCCATCAACACCATCGACAGTTTCAAGCACTCCACCATCAACACCATCAACCACCACAACTCCATCAGTAACTTCGAGCACAACACTATCAACCACTCCACCATCAACAACGTCAATCACTCCACGAACAACCTCGAGCACTCCATCAACACCATCGACAGTTTCAAGTACTCCACCATCAACAACGTCAACCACAACACCCAGCACAACCCCATCAACCATTCCACCACCAACAACACCGACAACCTCAATCACTCCACCAACAACCACTCCACCATCAACAACGTCAATCACTCCACGAACAACCTCGAGCACTCCATCAACACCATCGACAGTTTCAAGTACTCCACCATCAACAACGTCAACCACAACACCCAGCACAACCCCATCAACCATTCCACCACCAACAACACCGACAACCTCAATCACTCCACCAACAACCACTGCACCATCAACACCAACAACAATCTCAACCACTCCACCAACAACTTCAACACCTCCACCGTCAACGCCACCGAGAACGACTTCACCCCCCACCACCGCGTCGCCCACGTGGAGCTCGAGCCCTGGAGCCACCACGCCGTGCGTCTGCCCCACTCCCTACGGCCACGCCGTTCCTCCAGGTGAGCGATCTGGCATTGCTCCACTCGCACCGTTCGAGCCTCCCCTGTCGATTTCCCAACACGGCATTGAGAAAAAGAAGACATTTGCCTGTAAAACGACTGACTGTGTCTGAGCGTGCCAACCGCGAGGACACCGATAACCCCAACTTGCCCATATAGTTTCCTGCGAGTTAATTGAGCACGTGTTTCATATTAGGTCTGGGCATGCACACTCGGGAGTGTAATTTCACGATCAGAATGCTGTACACGCATCGAATGATGGTGCTCATAATTCTGTACAATTCATGCAAATACTCTGTATATATATCATTAATCCGTTGGCTGTGTGCCACTTTGAACAAACCTTATACGAATCCACATTGAAAGCTACATGTACAGATCTGGTATCGATCGAAAGCCCGTTGTCTGTAGGTGTGTAGTGAAAGTGCACGTCTTCCTCTACGACTTTCCCTTGCTGTTATGGATACAAAACAAACACAAATGTCCTTATTTGAACGACATTTCAAAACCCTGGAAGACTAACATGTTTATGTGCACTATACAATCAAATGTTTCCCTTCTGGCTGTGAGAACCATCAGCCTACCAACAGGCATCCCTCGCAACATCGGTGCCTGCAGGTAGACAGGGGAGAGCTGATACTCTTCATGAAGTGTTCAGGTAGACAGGGGAGAGTTGGTACTCATCATGAAGTGTTCAGGTAGACAAGGGAGAGCTGGTACTCTTCATGAAGTGTTCAGGTAGACAGGGGAGAGCTGATACTCTTCATGAAGTGTTCAGGTAGACAGGGGAGTTGGTACTCTTCATGAAGTGTTCAGGTAGACAGGGGAGAGCTGGTATCCTTCATGAAGTGTTCAGGTAGACAGGAGAGAGCTGGTACTCTTCATGACGTGTTCAGGTAGACAGGGGAGTTGGTACTCTTCATGAAGTGTTCAGGAAGAGGGGGAGTTGGTACTCTTCATGAAGTGTTCAGGTAGACAGGGGAGTTGGTACTCTTCATGAAGTGTTCAGGGAACCTGGTCGGAAATGCTGGACAGAATGAGAGATTTGAGGAATGAGAGCATTTTCCTCAAAAACTTCACAAAATAATTTCACAATTCTGCTTATGTGTCCTGTGAGAACACCTATTATCGAATGCACTCATGTGCAAGGCGAAATGAAGCGTCACTGATGAAGGGCATGGAATGGTGGAGTGGAGTAGTTTATGGTAGTTCACAGGTATAATGTTACGTGGCGTAGCAGTGTCGGGTACAGCAGTGGTGTTGTATGTACGATCGTGGTGTAGCGTGCACATGCAGCGGTATGCTGCAGGCGTGTGGGAGTGTCGTAGTGTTGTGTACTTGTGTGTGTGGACGATGTGGCTGCTGAGTGTCAGGGGATTGGTGGGGGATGTCTGCCGAGTTCCAGCAAGTGAGGAGGTGTCAGGCGAAGGTCGCGCCAGATGAGCAGTGCAGGCCCCCGTGCTCAATCAAAGCCGTGGATGAGGGGCGGTGTGAGTGTCTCTGTGTGTGCTGTGTGTGTGAGTGCTGTGTGTGTGTCCTGTGTGAGTGTGCTGTGTGAGTGTGCTGTGTGAGTGGTGTGTGTGCTGTGTGTGGGGGTGCTGTGTGTGTGTGCTGTGTGTGTGTGTGCTGTGTGTGTGTGCTGTGTGAGTGTGCTGTGTGAGTGGTGTGTGTGCTTGTGTGGGGGTGCTGTGTGTGTGTGCTGTGTGTGTGCTGTGTGAGTGGTGTGTGTGCTGTGTGTGGGGGTGCTGTGTGTATGTGTGTGTGTGTGCTGTGTGTGGGGGTGCTGTGTGTGTGTGCTGTGTGTGTGTGTGCTGTGTGAGTGGTGTGTGTGCTGTGTGAGTGGTGTGTGTGCTGTGTGTGTGGGTGAGTTCGTGTACAACAGCACCACGGTGGTGTAGCGGTTAGCGCGCTGCGCTACGAACCTGGCGACCCGAGTTCGATTCCCACTCTCGGCCAACATCAGTGACGTTTATCTGAACCGGTCCTGGGCCTCCCCTAGGTCGACTCGGCCTCAAATGAGTAACCGATGCGGTGTAAACATCGCCACTAGAGAGACAATGGCGGTCGGGCGTGGTGCTGGCCACCCATCCCTTTGTGTAACATTCCGGCCTTCATAGGTGCTCGCTAACAGCACTTGCCCCAACAGTCTGTCAAGGTTATATGGGAGATCTTTGTCTTTGCTGCGCGATGCAGGTGAGGTCATGTACAACGGCACCATGGACGGCAACATGTGCTTCATCGCCATCTGCTTGCCCAACTGCACCGTGCAGAACCTCTTTGTGCCGTGCACCACCACGACCACCATCCTCCCCCCCACCACGCCCATCACCATCGGTGAAACAACAGCAACCAGCCCCATCACCACCAGAACATCAACAACGAGCCCCACCACCAGCGGATCAACAACGAGCCCCCCCACCACCACCAGCAGTGGATCAACAACCAGCCCCACCACCACCACCAGCGAATCAACAACCAGCCCCATCACCACCACCAGCAGTGGATCAACAACCAGCCCCACCACCACCACCAGCGGATCAACAACCAGCCCCCCCACCACCACCAGCAGTGGATCAACAACCAGCCCCACCACCACCACCAGCGGATCAACAACCAGCCCCACCACCACCACCAGCGGATCAACAACCAGCCCCATCACCACCACCAGCGGATCAACAACCAGCCCCATCACCACCACCAGCGGATCAACAACCAGCCCCATCACCACCAGCGGCCCCACATTCATCCCCACCACCACCATGATCCCAACGACCACCCACCGGATGGGCTGCCCTGACGTGGTCCCTCCGAGGGAGGTAATCCGCGTGGCATTCACAGTTCTGATTCAACTCGCTGCATTCCTTATTCACTTGGCGTCAGAATGTCGCTGCGCATCCGTACGCTCGTGGCCTGTGTGGCCGTGGGGGTTGAACGCCCAACCCGGCGCTCGGCGACGCCGGCTTCTAATGCACGCGCCGTGCCCCCCACCCCCCCCAGGATAACGAGACGTGGACGGAGGGCTGCGTGGTGAAGGTGTGCGTGGGCTACAACACCGTCTACATGCGCCCCGTGGTGTGCCCGCCCAACACGGGCCCCGCCTCGTGCCCCCACAACAAGCAACCCCGCAACGTCTCCACTCACGACGGATGCTGCCATCACACCGTGTGCGACTGTAAGTGTGTGCATCCTGGGTTTTTCCTTGTTTGATTGTGTGAGGAGCTCACAGAGGCCCATCCGTGAGCTCTTACAGCAAGCGAGGACACATTGGCTTGGCCACAGAACCCACATGGCCCAAGCAGCAGTGAGCTAGAGAAGAAATGGGGTGGATGCGGCACAGAAGGACCAGGAGCTGAATGGACATGCCGATGACTAGTATTAGTGGTGTTAAAATCATCCTTTGGGGAAAAGGCTCATGAAATGTAACTCTTAGCTGAGCAGCTGCCAACAGCTGCCCTTCAGCAACAGCAGAAAGCAGAGGAAAGATGCAACAACTGAGTGCAGAGCAGCTAAAGCTGGCACCGCGATGAAGGAGATTGCTGCTCGTGCCAGTGGGACAGGGCATTGAACACCGAGCCTGCGTCTATCCTACAACCTTCTGCCGGTGAGCCATTGCCGCTTAATATGGCCTGACATTCGACCTGGCGTGGCACAAGGACTATGCCACTTTGTGGTGAATATCAACCATTGGTGTTGGGGGCTGGGAGCGAGTGCTTACGTGGGGGAGCTGCTTGCTTTCACACGTTGCTTGTGTCTCGAAGGGTGAGGGTGGGCGAGTTCGGGTGGGCGAGTTCGGGTGGGCGAGTTCGGGTGGGCGAGTTCGGGTGGGCGAGTTCGGGTGGGCGAGTTCGGGTGGGCGAGTTCGGGTGGGCGA